GACGACCCACCGAACCAGCCGGCGACAGCTAGGGAGGAACACGCATTGGATACGTCTAGAGATGCATGTAGCGGATAATGGTAGATAAGATCACGTATCCAACCTGCGTTGGATGATAGTGGCTATCGGACGGTGGACGTCAAGTCCAAGTCCTAGTTGTTTTAGTTGTTCTATTTTCCTAATTATTCTACAAGACTACCAACATGTATTATAAATACTTAAGTTTCTAAGCTTAATAGACACACAAGAATTTTCGCCAACTCTTCTCTCTCTTCCAAGGCATACGCCTAGCTACAACAGGCTTCGCGAACGAAGCCTTATGTTCGTCTGGTGCGTGCGTAGTCAGCCCGGTTTGTTGCTTTCACGCTGTGTCAGATTTCAATAAAGACAAGATGTCGTTTCACATTTCCACTTATCATTAAGATTCTCAAAGAATTCGTTTAACCTAAAAACTCAAGTTATTAAGTGAGGTTCTTGGATAAGGCTCAGTTTGGAAAGAGTGTAAATACAAATATGTACAGTGAGAGTCTTGATGAGGGCTACACGCCTACTTAGAGCACCAACTACTGTGTTTTGCTGTCCAGCCTTGTACACAATCTTGTATGGGAATTTATCAATAAAAGCAGACCATCTTGCATGCAGGTCACTCCTCAACTGCTTTTGCTTACTGAGATACTTAAGAGCTTGGTGATCGGTGTAGAGAACAAATTCTTTAGCAATTAAGTAATGTTCCCAGGTTTTCAGTGCTCTAACAACAACATAGAATTCTTTATCATAAGTGGACCAATTCTTCTTGGCTTCGCATAACTTTTCACTAAAGAAAGCAACTGGTCTCTTCTCTTGGGACAATACAACCCCTATGACAACTCCACTAGCATCACACTCAATCTCAAATAGCTTGTCAAAACTTGGTAATGCAAGGACAGGAGCGGTGCATAAATTTTCTTTTATGAGAGCAAAACTCTGTTCTTGTTCTTCTCCCCATTGAAACTTTCACTTTTTCAAACTCTCAGTGATGAGAGCTACAATACTACTAAAGTGTTTGATAAATCGCTTGTAGAAAGTTGCTAACCCATGGAAACGTCTTACGTCCATGACGTTTGATGGGGTCGGCCACTCCCTAATGGCTTTCAATTTTCTCTAATCCAGCTTAATTCCATCCTTACTTATAATGAACCCTAGGAACAACAAATTATCGCTCATGAAAGTGCACTTCTTTAAATTAACATATAATTTGTTTTCCCTTAATGCATTCAAGACCTCTCTGATATGTCCTAGGTGCTCAGTGATAGATTTTCTATAAATCAAGATGTCATCAAAATATACCACAACAAACTTACCAATAAAAGGGTGCAGTACCTGATTCATTAGCCTCATGAAGGTCCTGGGTGTTAGTTAGTCCAAAGGGCATGACTAACCATTCAAACAATCCATCTCTAGTCATGAAATCTGTTTTCCACTCGTCTCCGGGATGGATCCTGATCTGATGGTAACCACTCCTGAGATCGATTTTGGAAAAGACTACAACTCCATCAAGTTGATCCAGCATGTCGTCCAGCCTGGGAATGGGAAACTTGTAGACAATAGTGATCTTGTTAATGGCCCTGCTGTCAACACACATTCTCCAACTCCCATCTTTCTTAGGTGTTAATAATGCTGGTACTGCACAAGGGCTCATGCTAACTTGAATATGCCCATTTCTTAGTAATTCTTCTACCTTTTCCCGTAAAATCTCATTTTCTTTAGGACTCATCCTGTAGTGTGGGAGATTAGATAGACTAACACCAGGAACAAAATCAATATGATGCTGTATATCTCGCATGGGAGGAAGCTCATTAGGTAACTCATCAGGAACTACGTCATGGAACTCATCGAGTAGCCCTTACACTTCCACTGGAATTTTGTTTTCCTCCAGTGACTCATTCATGCTTTCTCCCTTCACCACCAACAAATGGACCTCGCGGGTATCCTTGCATTCCTTTACAAATTCAGCATGGTGATGTGTAATGGTAAGGAAATTTCTCTCCTCTGCCTTTGAAGCCTTTGGTGGATTCTTTTCTGCCATGGGTAATAAGGTGTAGCGTACACCATCTTTTTCGAGCTGGTAGGTATTCTTCCTACCCAGGTGTTTTGCATATGCATCAAACTGCCAATGCCTACCCAACAAAATATGGCAAGCATCCATATCCACAATATCACAATATACCTCATCAGTGTACTTACCAATAGAGAATGGAACCTTGTAGCGTTCCTCCACTCGTACGTCGCCGACTTCCTTGATCCACCCAATTGTATATGGGTTCGGGTGCTTCTCAGGTAGTAGTTGTAATTTCTGTACCACATCCCTGCAAATAATATTTTTGTGACTGCCACTATCAATAATTAAATCAAATAATTTACCCCGTACAGTGCATCTAGTGCGAAACAGTCGGTGTCGTTGAGTGGTATCTTTGCTTCTTTGGGACAACATCAGTTTCCTCACAACACATGTGTATTCTTCATGCTCATAGGGACCTTCTTCGTCCTCTCCATCAGGTCCACAATATACTTCATCATCAACATCTTTTTCATCCTTCCTCTCTATCATGTTAACTGCCTTCCTTCTGGGACAGTCACTAGACCTATGCCCTACTTCAGTGCACTTGAAGCACTTAAAAGGAGCATGTTTTGCATAGGGATTACTGGGTTTAGGAGGGTTGGAAGGGTTACCTTGAGTGTTTCCTCCCATGGCGGCCTTACTGGCGTTAGCTGTACTCGACGGGTGGGAGGGTTGTACTCCCGGGGATGGTTTGCTCTTGTCGACTGCTGCCGGTTTGTTGTCGCTCCCACTGTACCGTCGATAGTTTTCACCTCGGGTCCTCTCTTGGAACATTAACTCAGCTTTCAAAGCTAAGTTCCTTGCTTCCTGCACACAGAGAACCATCTGGACGCCAATCTTGTCTCTGATAGCCGGTCTCAAATTGCTCAGATAACGAGTTGCCTGCTGGTTATCACTTTCAGGTAGCTGATTCCGTTCAACCAATCTCAGGAATTTAGATGTGTATTCATTTACGCTTCTTGTACCCTATGCACACCGTTGATATGATTCAAACATATATTGCTCATAATCAAGGGGTAAAAATCTACTTATTAGCTGTTTCATGCGCCTCCATGTTCGAACTGGACCTCTTCCTTCTCTGATCCGGGTCATTCGTTCCCACCCGACAGATGCTCCTCCCTTTAGTCGGAAAGCTACTAATTTCACCCTTCTTTCTTCCGGGATCTCCATGTACTCAAAGAAATGGTCGACCTCTGTGATCCAATCTAGAAGGCCCTCTATATCCAGATCCCCACTAAAAGTAGGAATCTCTACCTTGAGTTTAAACTCATCAGTATTCCGATGGGGATTAAAGTTGCCGGGGTTGTGCCAATTCCTACCGTTTCTGCCATCGCCGGGAATAGCTGGGGCAATGCCGGGTTCTTGCTCGTCGTCACTATCATCATCAAGAACAGGATGTTGGAGAACAGGATTGACGAGGGGTCTACCGTGGTCGTCTCCTTTGATTGGGTACGGGTTCTCCCGGTTCCTTGGAACATCCTCCCGCAACAAAGTCGGCAGTTGTCCAACGATCTCTGCCAACTGTTGCTCAATGTTACGCGTGGCTGTGCGCTGCTCTTCAATTGCTCTCCAAACAGCTTCTAACCCCTGATCTCCATCATGGGGTGGGTTGCGACTGCTACCGTCTTGGTTGGCCATCTGACTGGGCGAACTCCCGCTCTGATACCACCTGACGCAGCGTGGAAGCAACAAACTGGGCTGACTACGCAAGCATCGGACGAACACGAGTCTTCGTTCGTGAAGCCTGTTGTAGCTAGGCGTATGCCTTGGAAGAGAGAGAAGAGTTGGCGAAAATTCTTGTGTGTCTATTGAGCTTAGAAACTGAAGTATTTATGATACATGTTGGTAGTCTTGTAGATTAATTAGAAAAATAGAACAACTAAAACAAGTAGGACTTGGACTTGACGTCCACCGTCCAATAGCCACTATCATCCAATGCAGGTTGGATACATGATCTTATTTGCCATTATCCACTGCATGCATCTCTAGACGTCCTTATCCGATGCGTGTTCCTCCCTAGCTGTCGCCAGCTGGTTCGGCTGGTTCGGTGGGTTGTGAGCTGGCCCTCCATCAAAATCTTGATTTAATGTGCATGAAATATGCATAAATTAATGGACAATAGTTGGATTATTGAATTTATTTGCAAGGTACTCACACTACTCACAATTTAATATAAATATCCTGTTTTGTTTCCATGATTCTGTTGATGATCCAGTTGTTGACTTGATCAAGGTTCAAAGTATTTATACGTATGGGCCCATACTGGCTGATAAGTATCATGTTGGTGGCTTCCCGATATGCCCTTACAGGGGCTGTATCAGGGTTCTGACCGGTTCAGGGGGTAGAGGAGCCTTAAACCAGCCCCCTTGTACTGGTTTTGAAAAAAATAAAAAAAAGCAAAAATAACACTATTGATATCATCGGATACGCTCCTATTGGCGTATGGGCCATATCAATATTTTGAACCTTGGACCTGATGGTTAGGTATTCTTAAAAGTGTTTTCATAAAAATACTTTTCATAAAATTATTTTTATAAAAATGCCTTTATAAAATTGATTTTGTAAAAATACTTTATCTTCATGACATTGCAGATTTCTGAGTTCATGTGAAAAAATTGTTCCAAATTGGCACTAAATAGGGAGGCACTAGATAACACCATAATTGCAGGTTTTCTGCAGCAATGTCGGTGGACCTCACATGCATCCTACTTTGTCCCTCACCCACCCCATAAAGCTTATAACCACTAAACCGGTATCATAAAATTAAAGTGAGACCAGGCAGTATTTATCAAAGGTTCAAAATTCACGAGGGATTTGATTTTTCAGCATCATACGACCTTTTCGGCATCATAAATTTATTCATACCACTAATTTGTGTAGTTCCAAGAAAAGAGGTTTGGGTGATTTTAAGATTAAGGGCACCAATTTGGCAAATTTCTGCGGAGGGGCAGCTGTAATTTTCTTTTGAATGCCTTATAATACTTTATTTGGATTCAGTGATTCACCAACCCGGAACCCGGAACCCGGAATGGAATGCCGTTCCTCCGGATTTGGACTTTTCTCCAACTGTGCTGGCAACAGCCAAAAGTGATGAAGAAAAAGTGCTTCCTCTGGGACCTACCTTCTCTTCCCTTCCTTTTCTGGATGAAGCCGACAGTGAGCGATGCGAGACCTCACCTGTCAGAGACACAGAGAGAGAGAGAGTCTTTCTCTTACGTGGGCTAATCACAAATGATTTCAACTGATGAGTCTGAGTCTTTCTTTCAGTGCTTTGTTGCGTTCACCTCTTTCAGGCCTCTTGTATCGTAAGCTGTAACATTATTTACACGCCCAATCAAATACAATCGTAATCCGGATAATACCCTAATCCAAACATTTTCTCCCAATCTTATCTCGCCATCTGTGTCCTCCTACATCTTTCTTATAAAAAAAGGACCACTCTACCAATGTCTAGATTCTACTCCCTTTTTACGCTTTTCTCTCTCTCTCTCTCTCTCTCTCAGTCTCTCGTCTCGTCGACGGACGAACGACGAGGCTTACAGAGACAGAAGGAGAGGATGTGCAAGTCCAACAACAAAAATATCCAATTCCACTCTAAAAATAGCACTAAAATCGCTCTCTTCCAAACTCCAGCTAGGAAAACCAGAACCAAGATTAGAAAACCTAAGTTTCTCAGTCTCCAGCGTGAGCTTTCGCCAGAATCAAGAGAAATGAACCACCACCCTACGGCCAACAACCCCACAACCACCCCACACCCTCAACTAAACCTGTTTCCATTACACCCGGAAAACCTCTTTGAGGAGAAAGACATCCCAGAACACAACGTGGATTACTTCTTCCACGACGACGACGGTGGTGGGGCGACCTTGAACGGTCTCCTTGGCGGAGGTTCCAGTGATGGGAGTGTGATCATGATGTCCTCGGAGTTGGAGGAGGACTCCTTCTTGTCCCCGTCGTCCCTGTCCTACGCCTACGGGACACAGGATAGCGATGAGGGGGCAAGTTCTTCGCTTGCTCGTACGGCTTTGAGGCATCATCATCATCATCATCATCATAATCAGGAGAGGGATGCCAGCGAGGAGAGGTGGGTATTCTACTCGGAGGTGGTGGAGAAGAAGGAAGAAGAAGTTAGTAGCTCTGTGGTCACCGCCACCGGCGCCGCAACCGCGTTTCAGACGACTCAGGGCGGGCTGTCGTTGAAGCTGGATTATGAGCAGATCTTGAACGCTTGGTCCGACAGGAGTCCATTTTACATCGACGGGGAGTGTCCGCAGACCGTTCCCGACATCACGGACAACGTGAGACTAACTGACATATCCTCCTTTTACTCCTCTTATTCATATTTATTCACATTCACGGTTTCTAACTCTATTTAACTCTTTCCGCTTAAGTTTGTTTGTCAAATAATATAATAATTATGCCATTTTCACAGCTTAAGAATTATAGGATTTTAGCACCGACGCACTGCAAAGCAACGAATAATTATCTGATTCTGCTGATCAGAACTCAGTCTTAGCTAGGTGGGTCTTTGGTAGAACTCCATGCAAGATGCAACCAGATGATCTACTTTATGAACGTTGGATTAACAGTAATACATACCATTAGGCATAGCGTAAGCGTCTTTTAATCAATTTATTGTTCACAAATGCTACTCATTCCTTCTTAATCGCTTCTGCACTTTTTCCCCTTTTTTTTGTTTTCTTTGAGGCTGGGCCCCACTACCACCTGAATGGCTGAATCACTACCAGTACTACCTCTCACCATTAATAAGCAAGCTCCGTTGGGTTGGCAATTTGGCATCCCCCATCCGGCCATCCCATCCCGGGCCCCGCGCACTTTACCCAACCCGTCGTCGTCCACTCGTCCTTTTAATTAAACAAAAGCATAGAGAGAGTGAGAGAACTCATGGCAAGTGACATTGCAACGCGTCTCACCAGTCACCACCTATATAATATTGACGTTGGAAGCGCCTTTCTGCCCGTCTAGATTGAATATTTCGCAAAGCCATGCAGGTCCAGGCCACGTCATGGCTGACGTGGTCTAGCCATTGCACATTTCCATCTACGTCCACATGAAAAAGGCTTATATGGCCACCAACCTATCTAGATCTTTCTTTTGATGGGAAAATCTTTTGTATCGGATTCGGCTTTTATAGGCTCCAATACCCTTCCGGGTCCGGCATCATAGAAATTAATTAGGGGTGCCGGATGCAATGCATGAATTATGATGTAGTTTTTGAACAAAAAATACTTGCCACGTGGCAACTTTTCTTGGCTTTAAGGCCAAATCCCCTAGCCAATGAAATCAGAATTCAGAAATGATGGGTTGATGTTTTGTAATTAAGTTATAGTAATTAGGCCTGTTTGTATATTTCGTTTTTTGACTAAAGGACTGCGGTCGTTGTACAGGCGTCGTTGGATTTTGGATGTTCGGGAGACGGACGGCAATGGAGAGTTCCCGATGACGGTAGCGGTGGGGCCAAAGAGATGAGCGAGGCAGTGTCAAAGATAAAACAGAGAGAGGCCAGGGTACTGAGGTACAGGGAAAAGAGACAAAGCAGGCTCTTCTCCAAGAAGATCAGATACGAAGTGCGGAAGCTCAACGCTGAGATCCGCCCTCGGCTGAAGGTTCGAAACCCAAAATCCCTTCTTTTTCTCCTTAACCAATGACCGGGACGGGGACGGATGATCTCTGTTCTTGTGTGTGACTGTGACTGTGACTCTGTCTGTGTCTGTGTTTTCCTTTTTGAAATTCTAATTTAATTAGTTTTTTTTTTTTATTATTAAATTTTTAATCTGCAGGGCCGATTTGTGAAGAGAAACTAAAGAATTGAAGTTGTAGATGATTGGGATGAGATTGATAATAAAAGAGAGCAAGAGCAAGAGCATGCTTCAACGATCTTCAACTGTAAATAATGAATGCATTTTAATTTGGGTAATGGGGCCTGGTTGGTTTAAATGCCAATAAAAAAGGTTGCATTGTCAACAGACGGCCGGGTTAGTATAGACTGTGGCCGAGGATGGTCATGGTGGGTGAGAGAAACATAGCATCTGCATCTGCATCTGACATTGAATAAATAAATAATGTTTATGTGTCCCCTCCCCTCCTGTCCATACTTATCTGAGCCCAAATCCGCAGGTTGTCTAAGCCCGATAAAAAATGGGTGGACCACGCAAGCCCGTTGGGCTGTTAAATAGCCCATGAATAGATATAATTTGGATGTTAAGCTAATTTTACTGATCGACTACTAGAATTGACTATGAAATGAAATGTTATGTTAAAAAAAAAAGACAGAGAGAGAGAGAGAGAGAGTATCTTGCTGTGCTAGATCTTCCAAGTGAATGAAGGATATCTCTGCTCCGTTGGGAGTTTTCATTCACGTGGCTGTGCTTCTTCTTTTTTGGTGAACATGTACTTGTCTATTGGCTCAGTTTAGATTTTTTTTTTTCGAAAATGGCTCAGTTTGGAATGAGTATGTACAGTACAAATACATACAAAATATAAGATTTGGCACTGTAATAGTTGTATTTGCACTTTTTATTAATTGCATTTTGGAAGGAGTTCGCTGCTGTCTAGCTTTAAATCAGGATTTCCTATTCATACTTCCTGAAAATCAAATGGACTTGTACAAACCTGTGCCATCTTCAGTTCTAGTTCACTCAAACTTGTGTACAAAATAAGTGTTTTCTCACACCCACCATCGAGATAATTAATTACACATTAATGGGGTGAGTCAGATTAATTAAGAGAAAAACGCAGCTGCTACCAAGAAGCAAATCCACTGTCAAGCTTTGAGCAGACTTCAAGGTTACTTAATTGGGACTCCACCATCCAACGGTCATCAAAGTTATTTGGATCCTTGAAGAGTATTTTGACAGCAAAAGTAATTTGTAACAGAAAACAATTATTTACTGCCGAGAAAGAAATATTTATTTACAAAATTATATTTCTTATTAAAATGTTTGGTTGCAACTCAAGCTCTATTTGTTTGTAGTGCACATCTGAACTGAACTGAACTGGATGCTAATGCTAATTTTCCACCCGGTTCAGTTTTGCATCTGTTTGGAATTATGATTTGCACTACTATATGATTCAAAATTTGTACTCTTTGGCCTATTTGCATTTATTGGCAGTGCAAATTTTGCATCTTAAAAATTGATGTGAAATTTGCACCGCCTTCCGCCTACATTGTTTTGTCATGCATTTAGGACCACATCATCTTGCTTTTTACCTAATTCCTAAACAAATAACCTTCCTACCTCTATTCTCTTTCATACATGGTACGTAAATTCTAATCTGAAACAAAAGTAAATCAAAATTTACACTCAGCCCCATGCACGTGCATTAATGCAAATGAAATTCATACTGCAAACAAACTGAACCTTCACAACAATCACAGAGAACGAGATTATTGACCGAAATATAATGTTAAGCTTATGTGAAGCCCTAAGCTTTGGCTATTGGAGGCCAACGGGGCACATTGTTGAGGAGCTTCTTCTTCAGCATGACACGTTACATGGGTGTGGGGCAAAAGAGTAATTACATTCAATAATCCTTTGACCAAAAAGACAAAAAAAAAAAAGGGGTCTAAATGGATTGACAGTTGACATGTCATGCAGAAACAGGAACAGCTATTCAACAGCCAAAGTATTATGTGAAGTGGAGCGAGGCTTGCATGGAATTAAATGTGTTTATTGAAGGAGAGTGATTTAGGTAGACATTTATAACTTTTTTAAGAGTAAAAACTCAATTAGACCCTAGGTAAAATGATTTATGCTTTGAGACTTGAGAGTAATATTTAGCCTCTCCTACCTACTATTTTAGTGGAAACCAAACAATAGAAGATTATTGCTCCTCTAAAAAAAGTATTCTTCAAAATACTTTATATCCAACCAAACACACAGCGTTAACCTCTCAATCTGTTGCGGACCAGCCTTTGATGTGAAATAATCTTATTGGTCGGAAGGTATGAGAAAAACACACTAGTCAGTAGTCACTCGTACAAAATATATGGGCAAAAAAGAAGTCATCATTCTCACCCAATTACTACAAGTTACGATGGATATGTGGGCTTGACATCAGGCTCCACAAATCGTACCCTTTACATACTTCATCATAGGCCTGTGGTAGGCCCATCCTTGCAAGAGGCCTCTTTTGTCGGCTCTAGCATATCCAAAGCCTATGCCTTTACGTACGGACTAATTTGCCAATTCTACGGTAGTAAGACCTTGGAAATGTTTTTTTTTTTAATGTGTTCGTTAAAGGTACCCTTTTTCCCTGTTTCAGGTATAGCCGGAATAGTCCTTTATTTTGTGGTAACGAGAATCAATTTTACCCTTATTTATTTAGAATTAAGGATTAGTTTGGAAAGAATATAAATACAGTAGAGTGTAAAACCTTATATTTTATATGTATTTATATCGTATGTATTTGTATTATACTCTTTCCAAACTAAGCCTAAAACACAAATTCTAGGCAACAATACAACTGGACATTTTGGTAGGATGGGAATTGGGATGACAAATTATATTGTAAAAAAATAATATAACAATATTGTAAAAATGGTCAAAATCGTAGAAAATTAATAATGTTTAATTAGACATGTTAATATATAATTTTTAAAATGAAAAACATGCTGAAATTAAGCCCTTTCATTTTTCATAAAGCATTTAATGAACTTAACTTGCTTCCAAGGCTCAAAGTTAACTTTCATTTTTTTTTTTCGATTTTGGTTCAGAGGGGCCAGTTTAAGTCCCACCTACCCTCTGAACCAGGCCCCTGACCCAATACAACCCTTGTAGGGGCATATTGGAAAAGGTCCGATATGATACGTATCGACCGATACATAACGATTTTTTGAACTTTGCTTGCTTCTTCCCAAAAATAAAGCTCTAACTTTTTCTATTTAGAATATGATACCAAGTTTTCTTACTATGTTTCGTAGGAAACACGTTTAAGGCTATGTTTGGGAGTGCTTAAAAATAAATGCTTATTTGGGTAGGGATCATACCATTAAGCACTTATTAGTGTTTTGGAAATAAGCCTGAAATAAGTGTTTATTTTAAAAAATAAGGGCTTGTTTTTTAAGCCCAAATTTCCAGTTTTTTTTTTTTTTCCTTTTTATAAGTGCTCATACAATAAGCACTTATTCAATTTTTTTTTCTCCCATAATTGTCCCCAGTGAATTTTTAGAATATCAATTATAATCCTTTTATAAAAACAATTTTACATAGGCACTTTTGTAAAAGTAATTTTACTTTTACAAAAGTAAAGTACTTTTATGAAAGAATTTTTGTAAAAGTACTTTTATAAAAGCACTTCTGTAAACATACTTTTATGAAAGTGCTTTTATAAAAGTACTTTTATATCAAAGCATTTTTGTGAAAGTACTTTTACGAAAGCACTTTTACAAAAGTACTCTTATGAAAGTACTTTCACAAAAGCACTTTTGCACAAGTACATTTACGAAAGCACTTTTATAAAAGTACTTTTGTTTACAAAAGCACTTCTATCAAAGTAATTTTATTCATTCACTTTGGATTGGATACTTTGAAAATTTAAAAGATAATGAAGGACAAAAGAGACACAATTGATTATTAAAGTGCTTATTGAGGAAAAAGACCACTAAATACCCAATATAAACTAAGTGCTTATTTTTTAAAATAAGCACTTGAAAAAGTTGGGTGCCAAATGCAATTAAGTGCTTATTCAAATAAGCACTTATTTTTAACATAAGCACTTCCAAACATGACCTAAGTATTGAAAACATGTTTAATTTGTGACTTTATGTTTAAGGCTAAGTTTGGGAGTGGTTAAAAATAAGTGTTTATTTGAACAAGTGCTGAACCACACCATTAAGCACTTATTTGCATTTGAAAAATAAGCTCGAATAAGCATTTATTCCTAAGAATAAGTGCTTATTTGAAAAGTCCACATTTTGGGTTTATTTTTAAGTGCTTATTTCTTTTTTGGCCTGTCTTGGCCCATCACATCATTTTGAGGTTTGAAATAAGTGTTTTTTCACTAAACACTCTTAAGCGCTTATTAGACTAAGCACTTAATTTATAAGAACTTAAAAGCACTTATTTTTTTTCAAATACAAGCTCTCAAACTCCACCTTAGTTCTGAATTATTGTATTCAAAGCCATCAAAGGGACGAGGCAAAATTTGTGCGTACAATTATCAATAGAGGGGTCTGGTAATTTAGATATTTATGTGTAAGGGAGTGGGGTAGATTAGGGTTTTGAGAAGAGAAACTCTATTCATCTTAGATTTGTAACAGTAGAAATTTCAGATTGAGAAAATAGTTAGAGGGTTGATCACACTAAATGTCATGCTTTGTGTGTTGATTAATTGATTGATGTTTTGGTTTCATGCCTTTTGTTTTTTGTAAATTTTCCTTTTCACATAAAAGGAGTCAAATCCCCTGGTTGGGAGTGCTTCTTAAGCAAATAAAAGATTTCAAAAGCAGCTGAAAAAGCAATTATGGGCATTTGGTAAAAAAGCCCCATTAAGTGCTTATTACGTTTATGGCCCGTGTTGGTCCACCGCCTAATTATATATATAAAACTATATCATTCCTCGTTTAAAAGAACCAAACACTCATAAATCGCTTATTTAATAAGCACTTACAAAAAAAAAAAGAAAGAAAAGCACTCATGTCAACAATAATCACTCCCAAAAGTCATCTAAAATGATTAATCTTCAACTTTTCTGTTGAAAAATAAGGATTAAATAGAGGTAATAGCTGACAGGTTGCTCCACCCCTATTAATAAAGTGGGCATGGGCATGGTACACTCCAGTCTAGATTGAAGTCCATTTTGGGTTGCAATCTTTATTCAGCACTATTTACATACATCACACCTTTTCCCCATGTCCTTGTCCACATAAGGCTAAATTCATTTGGTTGGTTGGATTTGGATTTGGCCCTATCTCACGCATAAAGTCTAGAATTTGTGATGTTAAATATCTAGATGACAAGAAAACCTTGTTATTGCAGGCACATCATAATGCAATAAAGGTGAAGTAAAAAAATGTTTTCTAGTGTTTGTAAACAATAACTTATTAAAATATATAATATAGTAGGTAGTGACTAGGTTATATATAAATAAAAACCTTTTAATAGTGAGTTGTTATAGAGGAGATCATATCAATACAACACATCAAATATATTCTTTTTGAGGACATTGATGGGAAGTAATGAAGAACTTTTACATTAAAGCCAATTGAAGTAGTTGATATTCTTGGCTTAAGTGAAGGTCCGTTTCTCAAGCAGAATAAACAGAAGGATAGATATATGACGGAAATTTGATTTGATAATTATGGTGGGTATCTCGAGGAGGGCTTCAAGAGTGTGCTCTATGAAGTGCTTATGTAATCTCAAGGCATGATTTAATATGTATACACATAAATATGGTATTGGAAAAAGTTAACAACAAACAATGTGGCGATCATTTGGACAAACAAAACTGATATAGTAAAAATGGGACAAGTATAAATAGATATACTTTCATATAGAATTTTTTTAAATAAAAATTTGGCATGTTTTTTTATGTAAATACGTATATGCATGATATACAAATAGTATTAATTTAACAAAATATATATATATATATATATATATATATATATATAATAAAGTGCCCTCCATTCCTTTAGCTTATGTATTCTTTTATATTTTTGAAGAATATACAATTTTATAACTTTTTTACAAAAATGTGGACATGCATATTATATATAAATGCATGTGTATGCATATGTATATGTTTAGATTAATTTTACCATATTAGTCGGTCCCAACAGTGCAAACCAAAGGTTCTATACAAATGTTTTCATTCCTCTATTTTTTTACTTCTTACAAAAGCTTTTTTATTGAAAGGGATTCAAATCCATCTTACAAATTAAAAGGAATCTGGCGTAATGCTGTGGAGCCCATAAACAAGGAGAGCATGCACGATGCACCTTAGACTCATAGAATGTAAATTTCAGTTATTTTAAGCTTCATTATTCAAACAACTCATAGGATCTAATTGGAAATCTAATAAAGAATGTATCATATTATTTGTTGTACTGGCGTCTTGAATTCCAGTTGTGATCCACTTTCTGGTCGGCCCGAATTAAATTGATAAGAACCTGAACATGCATATATATATCTTGCATAGAAAGTTATCTTATATCTTGAGCACCAAGAAGAGAAAAAGTGGGATAATACATTGGCATAGGGTGTTTCAAATGTATGGAGTCTGGGGTTTGGTGAAAGAGGGTTTATGCGTTGTGATTGTAATCTTTACTGTTTGTATAGCGGCTTTCATCTCCTCTGATGCTTCTAGACATAGGCTATAAGTTGAATTATGTCAATCTTTGTGTATATTTTTTAGTTACTCTGTTTTACATTTATTTCATTTGTTTTCTGTATTAGCATGCCAATAGATTTCAAGTGTAAGGTTTGTTCTTCTGCAACATTATTATCTTCTAAAAATCTCGTTTCGGGTTACTTCACTTTGGATAGGCCTGCTTTCTAAAATGCATTATAGTTCTAGATAAGGGTGTCAATGGACCCCGTCCCGCCCAAAATCAATTTGGATGGATTGGACGGACCAATCCAGTCCAAAATATTTATTAGATTGGATAGGACCTGGTCTGTCCAAAACAAATTTATATTGAATTGGATTCGATTAAGCCAATATCTGATCCATTGATATAAAGATAAGGATATATGTGCCAATGGACTACTGGGTTTGGGTTGAAACCAATTTAAATCAGGATGAGTTTGAACAGATTAGATGGTCCAGACATTGGATTGGACCTGATCCATTTATAATGGACTGGATCGGATTGGACCAAATCCAGTCCAATTGACACCCCTAGTTCTAGATGAGGATTCCAAAATCCAAAGCGTTTTTCATTTTAGATTTGTTTGTTTTGCATTACTCCATGTAGGATAAGAATCATAAATCTTACAAGGATGGTTTAGATCAAGTTTTGCATTACTCCATGTTGTTTGGGTGGATTTTATCCTACAGTACCCTATGCTTTAGTTCAAATGTTTTTTCGCAATGTATAGAGACTACAGGAGGGATGCCAATGGAACTGGGGTAGCATTAACATGATTCAGAAAGCAACCTCCTTAACCATTGAATCCCTGCCCATGTGACCTCCTTTAAGTGAAAAAAAAAAAAGAGTTTAGTTGATGTTTTGTTTTCTTCTTTCTTTGTTTTAATTTGTTTTTGTGTTACTTTTATGATTTCAAAAATCTTGCTCCCCATTTCTTTGAAAAGGGTATCCAACCACATCGTTACTGAAGGTTGTTGAGAACTCCTTTTCAATCCCATGTTGTAAGGGACCACAGATTCTCCTCAATTGCATCATAGCTTTTGTCTAATAAAGGACAACATCTTACTGAGAACTGGCTTTGTTTAGAGAATTTTTCTGATTTTATATATATTGCTGCAAACATTAGTAAATATATGGATACGACATAATTAATTAAATACAATAAATATGGAATATTGGAAAACCCATCATGAGAATATTATATATATATATATATTCAGATGTACATGTGTATAGTCTATCAAATACATGAATTAATATTGAATATAACTGTCATCAACATGATGGAAAACATAAAGAAAAATATAATGATCTATTCAGTTTTTTATAGTATTTAATTGTTCCAAATTAGAAAAAGTAAACCTACATATACAATATGTTTACTACTAAAACTGCATGGCCAGCTGTTGGAGGTTACTACTCTACTGTAGCTCTACCTTCATAGCTTTTAACCAACTCATCGTTTGCTGAGTATGTCAAACACTTCTAAATGCATTTGTACTAATGGACTAATGGTCTAATCAATTAAACCTTCTTGATCATGAACAAATTCTCTCTCTCTCTCAAACACTGAATTAATCCTTGACATCGGGTGTGGTAATCGGCATCCTAATTAGTTAACTTCACGGTGGAAATTAAAGGGATGGTTTGATTTTGATACTGTTCATTCCACTGATATCCCACATATCATGAACACTGAGAAGACGAATTTTCCATGGGTTTTTTTTCTTCCTGCAAAGACATATTCTACCACTAATTCAAGTTTCCTTCTAAGAATTCAAATCCCTCAACCACTGACATCTGGCCAAAACAAAAATCAATTTCCACCACTTATGCTTCTGCATATTTTATATAGGCATCTTGTATACCTGTTTTCTTTGCTCGTCTCCTCAATTAGTATCCTTCAATTGCATAGCACTGTTCATACCACCCTAGAGATTTTGATCGAGTTCTCAAATTTTATCTTCCAACGATCGAAAGCGATGATGATGGATATATAAATCCACAGCAAAAGCTTTTTTTTTTTTTTCTTTTCCTTTTTTTGGGTCTTTTTTTCACCTGAAAGAACTTTTGATATTCATCACTGCAACCTATTCCAACATGAGAAATTCCATCAAATCCATATATGTTTTGCAAATATACAAAATATAAATTTCATTTCAACTAAGCTTTTAAGCCAATTTTTCTTTTTTCGAGTAGGACAGGAAAAATAAGAAAAACCATCTTTTCCATTTTCTGCAATTCATCTAATCTGGGATGCAGATAGCATCCGTTAAACCATAACCGGCTTAAATTTCGATCATCTCTTTCTGCAAAACTCTGCCTTCTGAACGAAAAATATTAAAGCTTAGATCCAGGATCTTCACATAGACTGCACAAATGGGACAACTGTGTTCCAATTAGCTAGCCACGGTTAATACATAATTTTCCGGTGTAACAAATATGATTGCCGTTGGAATTTTAGGGGTGCCAATGGATAAGCCAAGGTTTATGGACTTCATCGGTCCAGTAGTCCATTAATTACCAAGATAAGTTATGGGTCCAAGTCTTTGAAAAACCGTTCAGGAATTGGATCCTATTCTGGTTCTATCATGGGGTATTGGGACAAATTCAACTTCTTTTGCTTTTATATCCCAAACGCTCTGAGAGGAAGATAATGAAGAAAGTATCCATTTCATACCCATTTAAGTAAGAGCCCTGAATCCTGATAAATTTCACCAAGGCTGTACCGACTTTCCTGTCTGAATTGCAGGCCTCAGTAGTACCATAGATCCACCAAACCTGTAAGATTTCTAAAAGTTTTACCCTGGTCTTTCACAAGTTGAAAAATGGTGCCAAAATGTTCAGATCTTAGAAAATTCTTCCTAATTTGTGCTGAGAATCCCAAAAACACAAAATTGTAGATTTTATGGTTATCTTCAAGGTTTTAGCTAGAAGAGAAATAATTAGCAAAAGTGATCGAGTTCATGCGTCTAGGGATCTTCGCTCAATTATTGAAAAAAAAGGAGATCCAGCAAAACACAAAGGTCTATAACCCACACATACACATAACAGAGGAGAGAGAGAGAGGTTTACATCACCTTGAATCGAGTGACGAAAACAGATCAAAGAGTCAGGCTTCAAAGCCATGTATATTTCTGTTAACAGAAGAAGAGAGAGCACAACAGTGCTCAAACGCAAGCCTTCCTGCGGATGTTCACTTGTGCTCTCTATCTTCTGTCAACAAAAGCAACAGCAACAGCTCTTTCAGTCCTCATCAGCCGCACTGAAACAAGTAAATAACCTACTTAAATCAACGACAAGCATCTCAACTCCGGCCATCTCCCTCCACCCAAAAAGAAAAAGAAAAAGAAAAAGAAAGATAAGAAGACAAAAAAACCGCATGCTTAGTAAGAAAGCTAAGATTAATTATCTAATATTATGTAGAAGTAGCTAGCTAAGGAGGCATATATAAACCCTAAACTTGATTACCCAATAACAATTTGATGAACTTGAAATTGGAAAAGAGAGGGTGTTTACCAGTGAGCTAGGGAAGACAAACTTGGTAGGAGTAGGAGTTGTTTGTTTCTTTCTATGCTGGCTATGGCCTGTGGGTTTTCCCTTCTGAAGCTACTTAATTTGTTTAAATATATACAATTGAAGAAGAAGAAGAAGAAGCAGCAGCAGCCGAGTCAACTAGCTAGGAGATAAGCATGAGCGGAGCTCCACTAGTTGTTCATCAAAGGAAAGTAAATTAATATATACAAGGCCTTTTATTTTGTTTAGGTGTTTGTAACGGTGGAGAGAAGAAAGAGAAAGACATTATTTGGCATTTGAATTAAGTTGTTTGGTTTGATATAATATTTTTGGAATCTTAGTGTGTAAAGCTTTGAACATGCCCACCGATATTACGTGCTCTCTCTCTCTCTCTCTCTCGTCTCAACTATGTTTGCTTAGTTGGTGACTTCTGCTGCTTTGTTGCCCACCTTTCCTTTCGTTGTTTCCCAATTCAAAAATTGTAATGGCTTGTCAAGTAGTAGGGTTGGTTATTGTATCATTTTCAAAATTTCCTGCTTTGTACCAGCTGAGGTCGACAACTTATCCCAACTACATACAATTTGCCCTGCCCATCACTCCTCTCTTATATTCGACAAAAGTTGTATTCCACACAATATAAAAGAGCGTTTCTGCACCATAGAATTTGCATTAAATTAATAAATATGCATGTCGTCGCCTTTATTTTATTTTATGCTTTGTCCGCCCTGGTCTTGGGTTGCCTAATATCCCATCCGCCGACCGGTTTAAGAGTTCAAATCAGTCTCCACAACATCTCATAACACATTTTCGCCATGTATTGGAAACATCTTTCCATGATAATATTAAAAATGATAAAACATCATCGGGAGATGTTCCTAATACACAGTAGGGATGAACTGTAGGACGTTGTGGGAAATTATCTTGTGGGGGGCTGATTTCAATTCTCAGTTTAATACTTCTGGGTCGTGTTCAAGTGGGGAACTTTTCCTCATTTCACCTTGACGTTTTAGTTGGTAGGATGTAAATAGATTGGATCAAATTTGATCAAATCAGCTGGTAGAATCTTTTTAGGATAGGAATGATTTGAATGCGATCCGATTTTGAAATGATTATATTTTGCTATCCAATCTGATCCGATACAAAAATCTGATGGATCATGATCTGATCCATTTGCATCCCTATTAGTATGGTCATGTTGGAAGTAGGTTGCCTCAAAAATAAAATAAATTAAAACTATGTTTGGTTTGAAAAATAAATATACATATGAGAGAAAAAGAATGTTAAGTTGCCTCAACTTTCTGTTTCTCTCCCTGTGAAACCAAAAAAACAGCCTAAAGGAATAATTCTTTTCTTTAACTAAACATCTAGCTATATATATGTAGTTCTAAATTTTATTTGTTTGGAGCAGATTCCGCTTCCATATTGGTGTTGTTTGCTTTTTCTCTCATCACTCCTTTTGGGTTCTGTTTAATTAGGTAATATTCCTTTTAAAATTTAAATTGTTTCTTTGCTGCCTTGTGAGGTTCTTTGTCCCACATTGTGGCCATACATCATATCCCATTGGCTTTTGATGAGTAATGCACTGTTTGTGCATTTCTTTGTAATGCACTGAATTGAATACCCTCACCCGGTCGGGACGATTCTGCAACTAAACTTCATAGATAGCTGCTGGACACTGGGGCTATACGTGGTAAAACGGAGGAAACTCTCGTGGCAAGAACCAAGAGGGGACAGAATCAGAGAAAGGAGTTAAGCGTGTATATCATTGAGAATTTGAAACAGGCTTAGAATTAGAAGGAAATAACTATGGTGGCAGGGCATCTTGGTAAATTGATGAAATGCAGAGGGGTACTCTTGAATTTCGTAGGGCTTCAAACAAACAGATCGGATCAAATCGTTTATTCCAGATTCAAATTTGATTTGTCAATATTCGAATTCCAATTTTATTCATGCGACTTTATTGGATTTACCCTCCCCTAATATTACTGATTGGACTTAAACCTTCCTTTCCTTTCCTGGAATACTATGCCGTCATGTTTAACATAACCAATGAAAAGACATTTTTACTCTTCATTATTTTTGAATTTTCAAATAAAACCATGAATGGTGACACACGGGAAAATAACAAAATGGGATGGTTTTATGAAGCTCTCCCTTCATTGAAGCAAGATATCCATATGAAGCTCGTTTTTATAGGGGATGTTTGGAACCGTGGCCGTTTTATAAAAAAACGGTGCCACATTGGATCCATATAGGCGTATGTTATTGTTTGGTTCAGTCGATTATTAAAAAATTGGGTATACCTAAAAAATCGGGACCTTTGGCGTTTCATGCATCAGTGAACTGTTTCCCCCAATGGTTGACTGATGTGTATCTTATGTGGTGCTTACCTGTCACATACATGAAAAATGGTGATCAAAAATCACCTTACCAAACAGCATAGTGTTGCTCACTGTCTACGTGGCAGAAGTGTTTTTTTTTATGAAAAATGGGTATTGGAAGCATGGGCGTTTTTTCTTGAAAATCGGTCCCAAAAAACGTCCACGCTTCCAAACACCATGTTAATAAGTCATTTAATTTCGTAATGTCATTGTGAAGGCAAGTTAGGTTTAAAGGAAAAAGTAGGGAAAGGAAGGGAAAGGTAAGGAAACCTTTACAGATCTTGTATATATAGGTTTTCTTGCCTTTCACTTCCTTTCCCTACCTTTTCCTTCAAACCAAACATAGCCTAAAAGAAACAAAATTATAAATGTTAAGAAATAACAGATAACGGAAAGAGTTTTGATTTTCCCACTTTGAGGTTTTAATGCCTAACATTGGGTGAATGGAGGAAGCTCTCAGTCATCTAAAGAAAGCCCATCAGATTTTTAAGAGTAGAGAGAAGTAAATCCTTGTAAACTACTTCTAGAGATCTCATCGGTTGTGAAATGGATTGGCATCAGTTGCGATTGTTCTCTTCTCCCATGTGAGCAGCATGACCTCTCTTGTAGTGGAAGTTGTTGGAGTTGCTGTTTTTCTTACTACACATATTAACTTTTGAGGAATATTCTAGGGTCTTCCCAATCACTCGTCATCATCATCCATGCCTTATCCCAATTATATAGGGTTGATCACATACATGAATTTTGTTTCATTAATCCGATCTATTTGAATTCATATCCATTATAAAATTATTAGTGCTTAAATTATTTCTTACTACCTTTTTGGCAAAAAAAAAATAATAATTTCTTACTACTTTTACCATGTAACTTTTGATCTATCCCGAGCTCTTCTAGTCCCTTTAATGTGTAACAAATCACTTCTTCTAACTTGTACCGTTGGTGGTCTTCTTTCCTAAGTTTGTATGGTAACTTCATTCATAGTCTTATTTTGTTTAGTTTTTTTGTCGTCCATCTTATCATCTGCATTTTTGTCACATTCATTTTCTAGATATATTGTTTTTTGATTGTCCAACACTCTACTCCATACAACATAACTGGCCTTACTACTGTTTTATAGAATTTTCTTTTTAACCTAAGTGGTATTTGCCTGTCACATGAAAGTTCAGATGCATCCTTCCATTTTGCCCATCTTGCTCTAGTTCTTTGGGTGATATCCCCATCAATCTCCCCCTTGTTATAAATTACTGAACCAAGATACCAGAAATGGTCACATTAAGTTATTTCTTGGTCTCCAATACTAAGTGTATCTTGATTTAAACTCCTATTATTACTAAATTTACATATCATATACTCCCTTTTGGTCTTATTTAAAAATCTCTTGTTTCCTAGGCATTGGTCCATAAGCTTAATTTTGCATTTAATACTTTACTATCCTCCCAATCACTAATTTAATATTAAAAGGTCTTACCAAAAAAAATTTAATATAAAAAGGCAACACAAATATCACAAGGTATAATTGGGTAAAATGTAAAGGATCAACCAAGAATTCCATCAATTGACAAGGCCAGTTCTACTGTAATACTTGTAACTTTGCATTTGAAATTGTAATTCCATGGTGTAATTTAGGGGTGGGTTAGGTTGGGTTGGGTAAGGGTTGAATATCAACCTATCCATATTAACCCACCAACCCACCATGACCCATCATTAATCCTAGTTAAAGGGTCATAACCCACCCTGATCCACTCATATTGACCCACTTGACCCTTCTATATTGACCTTTAACCATCCTCACCCATACTAATCCACCTACCCTCAGTTTAAATACAAAAATGGGTCAGGAAGGCCCGCATATGCAAAATAATAAATTTTGAGAGAATGATCTCTCTCAAAACTATCACATGACAAAAATGAGTCTAGTCAATCCATATACCCGAAAATGCAAAAATTGTAGATAAATATAGAAAATTGAAGAAAATACAGAAAATGCAAAAAAAAAAAACTTAAAAATTGTAGAAAAATACAAAAAATACCAAAACTACAAAAAATACTAAAAAATTATAGAAATTTCAGAACTTTTGCAGAAAAAAATCAGAAAATATGCAAAAAATAAGAAAAATGTAGGAAATGCATGAAAAACACCAAAATGCAAAAGTTATTAAAAAGAGCACTAAAAAATTGTAGAAAATTCAAAAAAATACCAGAAAATTTTAGAAAATGTAGAAAAATACCAACAAATTGAAAAAATGCAGAAAAATACCAAAAATTACAAAAAATGCAGAAAATAACAGAAAATGCAGAATAATGCATAACTTATATAAAAGTTCTTTCGCAGAAGTAATTTTATGAAAGTACTTCTATAAAAGTGTTTTCATAAATGTACTTTCATAAAAGCACTTTTATAAAATGCTTTATGCGTTCATAAAAGTGCTTTCACAAAAGTACTTTTATAAAAGTGCTTTTGTGAAAGTATTTATAAAAGTTATGCATTATTTATAAAATTACTTTTATATTTACGTAAAAGTGCTTTTGTGTAAAAGTGTTCATAAAAGAACTTTTATAAAAGTGTTTTTATGCTTTCATAAAAGTGCTTTCAAAAAGTACTTTTATAAAAGTGCTATTATGTAAAAGTTCTTACATAAAAGTACTTTTATGCTTTCATAAAAGTGTTTTAGTAAAAGTACTTTAATAAAAGTGCTTTCGTGTAAAAGTACTTTTGTAAAAGTGCTTTTATAAAAGTATTTTTTATAAAAGTGCTTTTATAAAAGTATTTTTTATAAAAGTGCTTTTATGCTTTCATAAAAGTGTTTTCGTAAAAGTACTTATGTAAATGTATTTTCATAAAAGTCATTTTCATAAAATTAATTTATAGAATTGCTTTTGTATAAAATTGCATATGAATACGAAAGTTAATTAAATCTATTTTATTTCACTTTTTTTCTCAAAGTGAAACCTGACATAGTGGTTTGGATATGTTATAAGATGTTGGCACTCTAGGAGGTTTGAGTTCAAATGACTATAACTTCTCTTTTTTGAGATTTAGCGAGTATAGATAGAGTAACCCAACCTATTTTGACCCGTGCGATCCAACCCATCTTGCCCCTAATGGGTACCCTCGACCCAACCCGCCCTAACCCTTTTCTACTGACCCTAATGGGTTGCTCGACCCATATTGACCCACCAATAGATTGAGTGGGTCAAATGGGTTGGGGTCAAGATTGCCAATCCTAGTGTAATTCTCCCTCTCCTGTAATTTTGCATGCAAGCAATACCAATGAGAGATGGGAAAGGAAAACTCAATAAATTAATGAAAAAAAAAAGAGAACAAGAGATATGCTAAGTGCTATGGCATTGCTGGATTACGATTGGATTTGGTTTCGGGTAAAGGGCAAAATTGTGGCTTTCTAAAATTTTTACCTGCACGTCATGTTCAAACAGATTTTGAGGGTTTGATAGGAGGTGTTTGTCTGATGACACCACCCACCAAGGGAGGACCCAAAATGTAAACGTTTAAAAATTTATGGAATCCGATCATATTAGAGTAGATTGTATTAATGGGTAGGTCTATATTGAATCCAGATGTAAAAGGATTTAAATTTCAATTGCCTTGTTTGGATCCATATTGGATCCAGAGTATCCCAATTTGATAGCCTTGGTGCCATGAAAACACATAAACATGACCCATGCAGCTATGATATCTAATCTCCATCTTCTGATTATGTTGTTATCAATGTTTTAAAAACTGACTTAAATGCCGAACTGTTTTGCCTATGGATCATGGGTGTTATCATGATAGATTGCCCAACCCACTTGTAATGATGAAAAACCATAACTTAGTGTTTTAGGCTTTGGAAGTAAGTCCAAATTGGCTGGAGATATAATCATAAATAATGGACTTGACGACACGAGTAAATCTGCAATTGGGTACTCCTAAGGTGTAGGATTCAATTCTGTGTTAGTGTCAATTGTATTGGTTAAAATATCCTGTGGTTGGATGTAATTCCGTGATTAGGGCTGTTTACCCAATACATACATGATAACATGATGTAGGATGTGAATAATCCTGTGCAACCTCGATTGATTGTTTTCACCAGTATAACTCCTACACCTGTTCTAGTTTCATGTTAATATCTTCTCACATGACTTTCATGTTTTCCTTTCCATCCAGAGATATCATCATTCAAAAAATCAAGACTTTTTTTCAAGGGTCTATTTGGTTTTCGTGGGAATAGGGGGGGGGGGGNAAATCGAAATTGAAATGGTCCAACCATTTGGTTTGGTAGTGCAGGAATCTGATGCTTATTCTTAGTGGAATGGCGTTCCCCTATTTGAGAATGTAATGACTATTCCCTCCCCTTCTCTCAGAAATGAGATTCCATTTCAATTGATTTTGATTTTGATCCCTGTGTGAAACATACAGATGGGAGGAATTAATAGACCATTCCCATTCCAATTCCAATTTTAATCATAAACCAAACGAACCCTAAATTATGAAAGGCATGCGAAAGGATTTACTAGAAACATTACACATGGGAGAAACAAAGACGGGAACATAAAGATGCGAGATGTGAGAACCCATCTCTCTTGCACTCCCGATTTTCAGCACCATCAGAGGCATGGCAGATGTGATCAGAGGTGTACGGTAGTAGGCGTTAGGCTCTTGGGATGAGGTTGTTAATTCTGATAGAGCTTTTTTCCTAGGGATTGGACCTTTAGCCACTTAAAAGCCCAACACCATGAATCCATTGGACAGCAAAGCACCGCCAGCCTCGGCGGCACAAGCACAACATTTACATCTTGGTTGATGGATGATGGCGGGTTTGAATTGAAATGTCTTCTTTCTTCTTATTATTCAAACTTCTTTTGATTGCTCCCCTTCTACTATGGCCGGCTAGGAAAGCATGGCCCCGGCTTGATTCAGAAATTCTGGGCTTAGGCCTAACCGGCCCACAATCACCCCTAATTTCAGGCCCCATAAGAGAGAGAGAGAAAGAGATGTCGATTGCTGCACGTGCTAACATGTTACAAGAAATTAGGAGATATGTATTATCAACTGACATAGCACATGGAACCGGCAGATGAGGAGACATTTTCTATTCCGTTGTTTTCACTTTTCAATATGGGCCGGGCCGGTCAAGTTCATAAACCAGCCTGGGCTTCGATGTTGTAATTTGTAAACTCAGAATTGTAAAACCATAACATATGCACGTGTTTTGTTTTAGTGTTTCTTGATAATCGGTTAATCACATGTTGGGCTTTTGTTTGGGTTTGACTTTGTAAATCTTGAACCATTAGGGTTTGGGAAACCGATTGGGATTTGATTTTTATGAGAAAAAGGGAATCCTTAAGAAAATATTTTGGATGATGGAGGGCAGTTGGAATCGTTTTTAGGCATGACACGTTAGCATGGATGTGGGGGTAAAAGAGTAATTGCGTTGATTAAAAAGACAAACAAGGAATTAAATAGGTTGACGTATCATGTCCCGGAACGTTCCACATGGCAATGATGGCATTGTGCTTTGTCTCTGCTGTTCCTAAAATATCTCAATCTCAATCTCAATCTCAATCACTACTACACGGACACCCCCTTTTCCTCCTAAAATCCTTCCGTATCCCCCACGTTTCCTTCTAAGAGTGATGGCGTTTTCTTCTCTCATCACTTTCTCTCCTCGTTTTCGTTTCATTCATCAACTTCCGTCTCTCATCCCTTGTGCTCTCTCTCTCTACAAAATTACAATTAACAAACGCATTTGGTAAGGATCTTGTAGATAGAAGAAGAGAGAAATTATCCATCTCTCTTGGCATCTCATGCCTTCTTCTGTGTCTGCGTTTGTTTTATTGATTTCATGTATTGTTTTATCGATGGTTGGATCTCTGCAGGGCTTTCATTTTCTATACAAGTCATTCCTATGGTGAGTGGAAAATTATTCATATATCTCTTCCTATTTTGTAAGAGATCCCCCACCCCACTCCACCCCTAATACTCAATTCCTAATGCCAATTCTCTATTCTGTTTGTATGTCCATTGCTGGACAATTATTGGTGTCAGATAATGACTCCAGCAACAGCATATTAGGTGAAATTTGGACCAGCTCCTGCATTGTTCCTCATAATAAACCAGGTGAGTGGCTTTCCTCTTTTCTTCTGAGTTCTGAATTGTTGTGGGATTATTTGTAGTAGTGGTCACAATTCTGTAATCTGTCTTTTATATGACAGATCCCTTCATATGCCAGACAAAATTATTTTTGCTTGCTTCTCCACTCACTGTGCCTCTTTATTTGGTGAAACCAATAGGTCCACAAGCTTATCTTGCCTTGTTAACTTGATTCACCCCACTTGTGGATATATATAACATAGACCTACTTTACCAATGCACCCCACCTACTCCTAGCTTTGATTGAAAAAAAGGCCTACCATTCCTATCAGAACCCTTTCAATTTGTGCCCTATCACCTAATAACCTAACCTACTTTTTGTCCATTTTTTTATTCATTTGTAATTTAAAAACAGAAAACCTGAACTGAACTGAACTTAACTATGTGCATATGCATATATATATATATATATATATATATATATATATATATATAAATTAAATCTTAAGTACTAAACTTGGTTATATACTTCAAATATCAAGTATAAGTATTAGGGGTTTCTTTATCCAATACCCATTTATTGAACCACAAGTGAACTGATCCATAAAAGGTAAAGTCCATTCTTTCATTCATGCTCAGATTGTGCCCATTATCACAATGTATTGTACATAATTTTTTTTTTTTAAAGCCATAAAAAGCATAGTTCATTCTTTATTGCAAAACAAGATCAAACATTAGTGAACGACCCAACCATAACGTTTGGCTACAAACGAAATTGAAAAAGGTAAGCTGAACGCCAATATAAGATTAATTGTATGGCCCCTGCAACAGAAAATGTCAACAACTATTAACGGACACTAATTTTATATTGTAAGTTTTTTGGTTCCATTGGGGCTCAGAACAGGCGTAGTTCATCCCCATAACCCCTAAACACTGGGCTGTATTTCTTCGTTACTACTACAGGTTATATTAACCCGCAAGAACTCTACTCAAGTCTACACATAAAATTCTACTTCCGTGCGTTGAGAACATCTTCTTGTACATAACACTATATGAAAATGAGATGTTCTCAATGTATAATTGGAATATGTAGATAGACGTGGGCAGAATTCTTATGGCAGGAGATCTGGACTCGTATTAGACTTCTATACTGTTTTCATTTGCAAATTCCTTTAGATTGTGTTTGGATTGAAAGATACAACTTGGTCTATTAGGAATTCCTTTACTTTCAAACCAAACACAGCGTTAAATGGCCTATTAGACTGGACCCGGAATTGGCCCTCAAGGCAGTAAACAACCCAATTCGGACCCCAAAGATATTGATTACTTGCCATATATTGGCAACAGCTTATGAGGTGTATTGATCTTACTGGTTAAAGGATTCGGACCTACCACTGTATGGGTGTCGCCTTGTCGCTGTGGAGTGGAGATTTAACAGGGCCACGAGGAGTGTAGGTAGTTTATAAGTGGGAACCGTTAAAGGTGAGTAACATATGCTGTGCTAGGGCTCCGGTGCACAATGATCTGTTCAAACTGAAATAGAACCAACATATCCTTGTCATCAAGTTTCACTTCTGGTAGGACACGTCAACATCTAGGTTCATTTTTGGTAGGACACGGGTCGAACGGGTCACACGGTTTTGGCGCAGCACTAAAACCATGTCACTCTATTTAATTCAGGGTGGACCACGACCACGACCACGACCACGACCACGACCACGACCACGACCACGACCACGACCACGACCACGACATTACATCCAAGGCTTTGATTCCGTGGTTGTAGCACAACACTAAAACCATGTCATTGGTTTGCATCATTTGGTCAGAGCAGTGTTTTCAACGGCGAATCATTTGAACTATCATCCGGTCAGAATCTTGGGTCTGGTTCTGCTAAAATCTGTTTTTCAGTTGGAAATTATTGATTTGCTAAAATATCATCCAACCCAGGTGGTTCAAGTGTCGATCTATTTGAATCGATCACCAGGTCGGGGGTTGCATACTTAATGTAGGGAAATTTTTAGAGGCCATAATTTTGTATTCCAATATCCAATTGAAATGATTTTTTTTTGGGTAATATTTTTTAACATCTATACGTTCTAGGTGCATTGCCCCGCTATTTTTTGTAAAAAAAAAAAATCTTTTTTGGGCCTCAAATCACAATTTTTAATATTTTTTACAAATAAAAAAGTTTAAAAACATTAATTAAACGTAAAATAATACATATATCATATTTAAAATATAATTATACATTATTTATGAATGTATATACTTAAGTATATGGATGTTGACATGACACGGTTTGATGTATTCTAAGTCAAAGTTTGCTTCATGAATCCTATTTTATCATTTCATTTTGTTCAGTGTCATATCTATTTTATCATTACATAGAATTCTTCTAACCCTACTTCTTCTAGTCCCTCCAACTTGTAATCACATAGAATTCTTCTAACCCTCAACACACCCACATGTGACCTAATTATCTTGTCATTTTGTCACCTGTGGAAGCTAGGCCTAGGTTCTGACTTCATTTTCGACCCTATCCTCAAGACGCCCCCATTTTGGACCCATTAATAGTTAATATGATCTTTTGAAATGTCAAACGCATATGAGGACTGGTCATAATTATCTATCCAAGTGAACCAGAACCAAGATATCTACTACTACTACTGCTACACCATCATCATCATCTCGACTATATGGGTTGGATACATGAATCATGTTTTGTCATTCTATTCGGTGCTATATCAATTGTCAAATTATGGAAACTTAAATAATTTGTTATTAATTTCATCCAAATTCTTTTCCGTGTACTTCTAACCCCCATCAACTTGTAATAGATAATTTCTTTCAACTAATGGCGTGAATGGTTTTCCCCATGTTACTTCTTTTCTAACCCTATCCACAGGTGCCCATATATACACAGAAAACATTTACATAATTAAAGAATAATTCCCTCACTTAGGACCGGCCATTCAAACTTCACCTTGGGGAGGGAGAGAACTTGTGCATTTGGCAAAGTTTTAGGCCTTCCTAGTTCTGGATCAAGCAAACAAGATTTATATTGGATTCAATTTAATATGATGTATTAATTCAAACCATATCCAACCATTTAACCTGCAACTACATCTATTCAGGTAGGGCCCTATTATCATAAAGATTGGATTTGTTGCTCGTTTGACTGTGTATCACTTGGTATGTCACCAATCACAAGTGAATATGGGCAATGTTGGTGTGTGTTCATTGGTGATTGATTACATAGCCAGTGATAAACAGTTGAGAGAGTAGCAGATCCTGAGCGTCCAAATCCAATTTTTCTTGATTTGTTTGTTCATATAACCATGGGTTCAATGGAGCCAAGCCAAACAATCCTTCAGCTTGTCTTTGCTTCAGTTCAACTAAAATTCTCCTGTTTGATTCAGTTCGGTTAAATATTTGATAAATTCGAATTTAAGTCGAAAGTAAATATTAATCGAATCATTCAGTTGAATATTTATTGATTGGACTTGAATTTGAAACTTTAATTGAACTTATCATGAGATTTGAACTCGACAGCTCGATTAGCATCAAACTCGAGAAAAACTTGTATCAGATTTTATTATAGATTTACTCATGAGTTGTCCCCAAATATAGTTAGGACAACCTTATCATATATATCATTGTTATACGAGACATCTCTAGAGTAGATAATATTGTTTTATATGTCGTTATCACCTTTTAGTTATTTTATTTTATGTTTAGCTTTATCTAATATAATTACAGGTGAAAGAATTGAAAATTGATGGAGCTGACTATTGGTGCAACCTTTGCAGTTTCGACGTCAACGATAAAAGATTAAAAGGATTAATCCAGACAACTCTCACAAAAGGAGGAATTCATGTACAACGTTTGGCATCAACTCAACCCCTTAATAAGTCGTCCACTCTCAAACAAAAAATCAGAGTTGCATCCAATCTCTAAGAGCCACACTGAATTTCCTGATCGGTTTCAATCTTTCACTACCGCCACCAAGGAAAAGAATCCCAGAACAAAACAATGCCAATATGTTTTTTCAAGTAAACATGAAGAAGACCGTAGCCATTACAACCCCATCAAAATCACTCATCTTTAAATCATTCTTTCTATCCCTCTCCATCGTACTCTTGTTCTTTCTTTCCATCCAGCGGCATCGTAACCACCAGATTATCACTTATCCGCCTCCGACGGCTCCATCATCGAGCGGTGACCTCCGAATTCGTCCTGGGTATACCTCCTATAGTGCATACATACAACACCAGCTCCACAAGACGTTAAATCCCAGGTTGAGAAAAATATGGACCACCAGAGATTGGGATCGCAAGATTGATGTATTCAGTAATTTTTTCCAAGATCTGAAACGCAAGAAACTGCTTAGGAACAACTCGAAAGCGTTGTGCATCGGTGCTCGAATGGGGCAGGAGGTGGCGGCGTTGAAGCGAGTTGGGGTGTTGGATGCAGTGGGCATCGATTTAGTTCCAAGCCCACCGTTGGTGATGGAGGGAGACTTTCACAGTCAGCCGTTCGAGAATCAGACCTTCGATTTTGAGTTCTCCAATGTGTTCGACCATGCATTGTATCCGTGGAAGTTCGTGGGGGAGATCGAACGGACATTGAGGCCTGGTGGGGTCTGCGTATTACACGTGGCGCTGACAAGACGGGGAGATAAATATTCGGCAAACGACCTATACAGTGTGGGGCCGTTGATGGCGATGTTTCGGGAGTCGGAGTTGGTTCACATCCGGGAGGTTGATGGGTTTGGTCTGGACACGGAGTTGGTTTTCAGAAAAAAGAAGGAATCAGCGGTCATGATAAAAATTAAAGAGTAGATTTTCTTTAGAAGGTTTTTTTTTTTTTTTGAAATTGTTTTGTCTTAAATTCTTATACGAGGTTGGTGAGATAAATACTCAATTATACAATTGGTAGCATCGGTTAGGGTCATTTCCTGTTTTTCCTTCATTGGTGGTTGATTCAGAAACCCATCAGCCATTATAGTCTTTACTTTTTTCACAAAGTTCACAAACCTTTTTCCCATCAAGAGTCTGGTTTCAGAAGATAAGGAGAAAATTGCTTTCAAAATTTATAAACACGACCCAGTTTTTTTATGATTTTATCTATTCCCAGCTCTCAAGCAATTTTTTCACATATAAATTGTGAAAGTAGTGAAAATGCTTTAATTTTATGGCCCCCACTTTCTTGGAAAAAATCATGGTTTTCAAAATTGGACCGGAAAAATCGGAAACCGGTCAGGTGACTGGTTTCGGTTTTCTCCAAAATCGGAAATTTGCCCAAAATTGTTGATTTTGGTAAGCAAATTGTTCGACCAGTAACCAGACCCCTGACGGTCTCTGGGTCGTTTTTAAAAACCATGGGAAAATTACTGTTTTGAAATCACTTTTCCTGCTAGTGTTGAAGTGCAGGGCTAAAATGATGTATTGCAGTTATGGGTGAGCAAAAATAACTGAAAAATCGAATCGATCAAAACTGAACCAAAAAGATGGTTAATTGAATCGGTCGGTTCGGTTTTGATTCGGTGTTTTTAAAAAACCAAAGATATTGATTTGGTTTCGATTAACTAATATAGAAAACTGGTGGTTAATCGAACTGACCGGTATACATATATTCTATATATTTTATATATATTTATGTATATTATATATGTTTATAAAATATGATATTATTTATTATTTAAAATATAATATTTTATATATATTTATAAATTTTTATTATATATTTATATAGATTTTATATTATATATTGTAAAAAATAAAAAACAGAAAAACCGACAAACTGAACCGATAATTAACCGAATCAGTCAATTATTATTTAATTGATTTCATTTCGATTTTGATTACCAGTTTTCCAAAACCCGATAGTACCCATTTGAATAAAAAAAAGGTTTTTATAGTTTAATCCACCCTTATGATGTAGCTAAGATTTTAAGAGTGGACTGAATCCTGCCCGTGAATTGATGCCAAATTCACGGACAAGATATAATTTATAGAGGGGCTACTAGTAGCTGAATTGCAGTCCACTTATCCCTAAAAAAAAGCCACACAGTTCGATCGGTTTAACCGATCCATGAACACGCCCCACCAAAAAAATGTCACTTCGTCTAATTTAAGGTGGGGCCATAACAATTCATCAAAGGCCTTGATTTGATTGTTTCAGCGCAACTGGTGGTTTGTATTGAGAAGAGAAACATGGCATAAATCATGACAATCTCCGGGCCTCCGGCCTTTGTTGATGATGGTGGAAAGATTCACTCACCCCACTTTTATTTATTTATTTATTCTTGCTTTTAAGTTATACCTTGATTATTTAATTTTAGAGTGGTGATGGAATGAATGCGCTCCCAGTAGTACTTGTTACGTGCTTATCACTCGTTAGAGGGGTTACAATTTTTGAATGTCAATGAATGTGATCAACACAGTAGGGTGATCATGAGTCATGATGCCCTATTGAATGAAAGCATGCTCAACACTCATTGAATCATCACTCCTGATTTTAATAGGATATCATATTTCCTTTGGGTTTGGCCCTACCTATATACAATTTATAATTTTATTCGATGCTTAACCTTCTAAATCAAAAATAAAAAAAAAAGTAAGGTAAAATGTTTGATCAAATAAATGCAATAGGGTAAAAATATCAGTTAATATATTTAAAACTTAAATAAAAAACAAGTTGAATGTCAAAACTCGATATATTTTATATGTAAATATGTGTATAATATATAAGCATCGGTTTTTAAACTAGCTTTTAAAAATATATAATAAAAAATTCTATAATTTTTGGACCGATTTTTCTTTTTAATTATAAATTCATGATACATGTTTATTATTCGACCCCATGATTCGTCCGGTTTGGTCATAAACTCATAATCTCGTAATAAACATGGGTTGAAATTTGTAGGCCCAATTCTAGCACCCAGCCCAACGAAACCTGAGGCCCGGGTTGAATTGGGGTTTCCCCACCCCACAGATGCACCCGTGTAGACCATAGAATACCCATATCTTGAACCCACAAGAATCACCTTTGTCAGTTTCTAGCATCTCAGATTCTTTCTCTCTCTCTCTCTAGAAACCCCTTTTGCTTCGTTAGCTTCCGAGACATTCTAGTTACTAGCAAATCCTTATCCAAGAAGAAGGTGGAGATGGGATCGCATATTCGCAATCATATTCTCACTTTTTCACTAGTCTGGGTTGCCAAGTAAAGAGATACAAAAGCCCTACTTCTTTGTTCACTACTCTAGCCCCATTGAGAACTTTCAACTGAAAATTTATTGTTGGCCACGTGGCGAGAATAAGCTTTTTACTAGATGAAGATTCAATGGAAGCGGTCATGCTGAGTCGCGTAGGCTTTCCGGCGACTAAGCGGCCAACGAGTGATTTATTATTAGGTGTGGCCGTGTGGGCTTTCCTGCGTGAGCATTACCCTTTTCAAGTTCTTTCAAATATCATATTTCCACGCAAAAGAAGCAGAAGGTTCGAGCTTTGGCACCTAATCGAAGGTCATGCAATTTCTAATTAACCAAACATCTGTGACCTGTATAAAGTAATTACCATAGAGACCAAAAACGAAACTTCAATACCCATCGATTCATTGCGAGACTATGCACAATGATCACTATATATAACCTACTAACTGATGGTTTAGCTTAGCATGCATCTATCTATAATGTATTAAACACAAGTCTTAGCTTGTTCCTTATTCACTTCCTACTTTCTCTTCTCTTTCAGTTTCTCTCTTCATTCCCAATCAATATTTTTCAAACATGTTGTCCGGTTCCGGTGACAACTCTTTCTCAATTGAGCTTTAGGACCCCTTTTCCCCTTGTGGTCTGGTTTGTCCGGTCATCGCTGCTGATGTCCCGACCGACTGGAAGGAGAACCCCGACGCTTACGTGTTAATGGCTGATCTCCCAGGCCTCATCAAGGACGAAGTAAAGATAGAGGTAGATGAGGGCCGGGGAGAATTGTCCAAATAAGTGGAGAGAGAAAGGTGGAGGAGGATAAGAACCACATTTGGCAACGGATGGAGAGAAGCCATGGTAAGTTGTGTAGAAGGTTTAGGCTACCCATGAATGCCAAAATTGATGGGATGAAGGCGACCATGGAGAATGGTGTACTTAGAGTGATCATCCCCAAGCAGGAAGTAGTAAAGAAGCCAGAAGTGAAGATGATTGAGATTAATTATTAGCCTAATGACATAAATAAACTACATTAGTACTGAGAGCAACAAAGGGGAGAGTGTTTTGAAATAAAGGAGGTTATGTTTGTTGTGTTTTTTTAGTGTTTAATTTTAATTTGATGTTGATGTATACTTGGTGTGATGTTTTGCATGTAATAGCTAGGAAGATAAAATAAAATAAACTCCACCTTTTGGCTTTAGCTCTCAAAACACAGCAAATGTGAGAAGGGATGTGGGTGGATTTCAGTAGAGAAGCATGCCCTCACGCCCTTACTGCTTGCTTATGGTATGGACCCATATATTGCTGAAACATCTTAGGGTACGTTTGGTTTGCAGTTGGAATTGGAATCAGAATCAGAATATTTTATAATGGGAATCGAAATGGTTTATTCTTATAGTCTGTTTGGTTCAGACAGGAATGGGAATGGGAATTAGAATCAGCAAGAATGAGATTTCATTCCTAAGGGAGGAAGGGGCAGTAGAAATGGAAATGGGACTCTGATTCTGTCCAACCAAATAGTTGGAATCGGAATAGCCCATTCCAATTCCGATTCCAGACTCCTATTCCCGTGAACCAAATTGGCCTTTAGTGCATCAACATTTCATCAAATTAATATATAGCATAAATATGGTTGAGCTGCACTCTTGGAGCCGTTATATTTTTGAATTGTCTTACCTGATAAATATTAGGGTAAATTGCTGACACCTCCCCTGATGTTTTTGGTTCTTGTTGAAATATCTCTTAAAGTTTGGTAATTGCAATCACCTCCTCTTAATTTTTTGACACAATTGCAAGAAGACCCCCTTTGTTAGAAGGGAATTTTAGACTGCACTCCATCTCATAATTATGATTTGAACTGCAGACCTACAACAATTCAAATTACAAACACCTCTACTTATGACACCCATGCCTGCCCGCGAATTAGCATCAATTCCAAGCTGACACCTACCCCCATCTGTACGATGGAGCTAGGATTTCTGGGGTGGATTGAACAATAAAAACCCCTTGTTAGAATCCTTTAAAAAGAGGTATGGAACTATACGAAATTAGGGGTGAACAAAAAAGCCGAAAAACCGAACCAACCGAAATCGAACCAAAAAATCAGTTAATTGAATTGGTCGGTTAGGTTTTAGTTAACTAATATAGAAAATCGACGGTTAACCGAACCGACCGGTATGCATATATTTTTATATATTTTATATATATTTATGTATATTATATATATTTTATATAAATTAATAAATATGCATTATATATAAATATATATATCTATATAATTATAATATTTTATTATTTTTATAATATATATTATAAAAATAAAAAAATCGAAAAACTAATGAACCGAACCGACGGTTAACCAAACCAATCAACCGATTAATTGACTGGCTTCGGTTCAGTTTCGGTTACCAGTTTTCCAAAAACCAGTAGTACCGGTTCGATTCTAAAAAAAGCCCCACAATTTAGTTAACCGAACCAAGGTTCAAAAAATTATGACGTATCAGCCCATATTGGGCCCTTCTCAATACGCCCCTACAGGGGTTATATCGGGTCAGGGCCTGGTTCAGAGGGTAGCCGAGACTTAAACTGGCCCCTCTGAACCAAAATTGAAAAAAAAAAGTGGAAATTAAAAAAAAAAAAGATTGATATCGGCAGATATACCCTATCGATACTTTTAACCTTGAATCGAACTATGAGCACCCCTATCCAAAATACCTATATAGTTATTTTTGACGAGACTGTTTGCTTTTCAAATATTAAATGATGGATATTTTAGGCATTTTAGAGCCTCTTGTTAGAGTATTATAACAAAAGAGATTTACCTGCGTATCAAAAATAGAAGTGATTGCAATTACCAAACTTCAAAAAAAATTTCAGCAACAATCATAAATTTCTAAGGGAGGTTTCATCAATTTACCCCTAATATTATAAAGTCATACCTACCATCCGATCCTTCTCTTCCTCTGAAAATTGGAATGGAGGAGTGCCATCGGTAGTAGTCGAAGACTATTTCGGCTTTAATTTAGTTTAGATCGTCATTTACTGGTTTGGCATTATTTAATGGCTAAGGCTACGGATTGGTCAAAATCATGGCATGATGCACGAGATTCACGTTGTTTACGTTTAAAGATGGACTGGTCACTTGGTTTAGAAACTCTGTTTTTTTTTTTTTTTTTTTCTTTGGGCTATTAAGGAGTTACATTAGCTTTAGAAATAAATTCAGTGCAATACATCAAGTTTTGTTTTTTTTTTTTTTAATTTCAAAAGCTGGTAAGCTGGTGTGATTGCCAAATCTATGCTAAACCAGCCATATAATAATTATTATACCCAAGCCCAGATGGAGGATTTGTATCAAGAATGCAACCAATACTACACAAGTGAATGTTATCATTTAAGCACCTGTAATTTGATTTGTTGATGGATGGATGTGACATTGACCATTGAACAGAATAGAAAACAGAACAGAATGGTGAAACATGATTTATGTAATCAACCCAATATGGTTTGAACAAAGGCATAAATGATTAAGACGGTCTGTGCAGGGGCTGCTACACAGAGGGTGTAGCCCAAAACCCCCAAATCTCTGCTAAACCTGCCAAAGACTATACCGTCCATAGACTCCATACCAACTGAGCAAGTTGGCACCCTCCGAATGATACTAAAATCAGGAAGATTGAGATGTTAGATCCACCAGATTTCAAATGATTTCCATTTCCAGTATCAAGATTTCCATTGAAGCATGAAAGTGAAGGTTTCAGAACGTGTATTATCCCAACTATGAAATATTGAAATTGCACCCAAACTATACATACAGAATTCTGAAAGTTGCGGAATTGGAGCCAAATACCATTTCCACGATGCTGCCCAAAAAATCATTTACATGATTCCATCACCACCCAAATAGAACTTTTTCAGCCCCTGACATTAATGAAATTTTACAACCAACTTATAAACACTACTTTCCTTTTCTCACTTAAATGTAAAAAGTTCCAAGGAAGCAAGAAACTTGGCCAAAGTGTTAAATCAGAACTTTTAACAGGGTAAAATACAGAGTCTGATCATACACAAGTCACATTTGCAATTGTACGCCTATTTACAGAGCCCAGTGCATTGGAAATTTGGAATTTTTGTTTCGGTTTAGTTTATTGAAGCCAAGAGTTTGCCCCAGCTGTTTTGTCATGTAATTAAAGAGAGAGGTGTGCAAGCGAACTGGGGTGAGAGAGAGAGAGAGAGATTTCAAATGATGTGGATACAAGATCAGACTACATATATTTAATTTCTCAAGGTCAAGGAGCATAAAAAGAGAAATAAATTACACAAAATACCAACAATTTGTGGAGTAGTTGTTCTTAGTTCATACAAAACATTAATTAAGCCGCGTCAAGTGGTTAGTAGAAAATAATATATAATCAGATTACACACTAATGGGGTGGCAAGGATTCTCTGGGGACAAGGCATGAAGCTTCCTCTCCTTGATAGCTGGGTCTTCCAACAACAGCACCTTGTCCCTGTCTTTAACTCCAACCATGTGTAAGAAATCACCGTCTTCTCTCTCCTTCCCTCTGAACAAAAGCCTCTGCTCTCTTGGTTCCAAATTAGTCACCAATGACAGAATCGTCTTCAGTTCACCTGCAAATATCAAAACACACAGGAAAAGATATAAACGAAAAACAATACACTCTGCATCTTGTTATTAGAAGGGAAACCTTGATCAAGGCCAAGGGATCAGTATCCAACCACCCATATTAGGATATACTTGTACTACCTCATGACTAGAAAGAATTAAAAGAGAAGGATGCTGATGATAGACAGATTACCAAACGTCGAAGTTGCTTCGATGGAGATATCATGCCACTTCGATCCAGTTGAGACTCTTACTGTAATCATTTCTTCTCCCTCACTTTCCCCATTTTCTCTCTTTTGAACCAGCATCCCTCCCGGTCTGAGCTCCCATTTGATCTCTCCGCTTCCTCCACACCCTCTGCCAGACCCTCCCGTGCTTCCTCCACCACTAATCTTAGAGTTGCTTCTGCAAAATTTCCTTGCTCTAAACTTAATCATTTCTCTCTCTCTCTCTCTCTCTCTCGCTCGCTCGCTCGCTTCGCTCTCTCGCTCGCCGGGGGAAGAGGGTTGGAGAGGAGGAACGGAGGGTATTTATATAGGACCTGGTGACGAGACGACGGTATAAACAAAGAAATAAAAAAAGGGTGGTTTGGCTTTGGCTCTGCTCGTTTGGGGTCGCAAAAGAGTGGAACTTTGCAGCAAATTCGGTTCCATGTTAGTAACCGAAGACTGTGACGGTGCCACGTGGGATAAAATATGGTCGGGAGTAGGGAGTTTCTTGTGCTGATTATCTTGGGGAGAGGGGAGAGGGGAGAGGGGAGAGGTAACGCACATCAGCAGTCAGCACATGGACATGGTGGTAACAGTACACGCTGGAGCTTGATTGGCGGGCCAAACAAAACAAAATCACATATTCACATCGACAGAATTGGTCGGTCGGTGTGGTGTGGCCCGTGTGGGTTATTCCCTTGTTCACTTATTTTGGTTTCAGAATAGAGAGGAGATGAGTGAGGGGGCCATCAATTCAAAACTAATCACATCTTAATTCTATATTGGAATATTTGGAGGATAAGAAATAGAGATTAGGTAACTGTCTTTTCCTTGCATTTATGATTAGGTTTCATTTCTAGGTTAGGTGGGTCTCTTCTCTTCTTAACTCCCTTAAATTAAGCATTGGACTTCTATTTTAAAGCTATACTCTGTTTTGGTGGTTGACAACAACTCTAGCCTCTAGGTCTATTTGGTATCTCTCCCCCCTGTGGTGAGTTGGAAAGATACTCTCTGCTATTCAACTGATCAATTAGATTATTCTAGATACGCCCTTTTGCCATCTGGAAGATGATGATCTGGCAAATCAAAGCTACCCACCAGAATGGGGGACCCATTTGATTGGCATAGGCTATGTATACTGTATACCAATGCAACCTTCTTCACTTCAGATTAGGACATTAATTAGTAAAAGTGACGGATAAATAGGGAGGCACGGTACCTTCTCCGTGAGAGAAAAGATAAAAATAAAATAAAAGAGGAAATTGGTAACTGTTATTCGGAAGTGCTAACAAGCTTTAAGAGGAGGTTTGTCCCCCAAGTGCACGACCGACTAATGAAAAGTTCAGTATATTAAAAGGTAAGCATGTTCTACACCAACAACAAAAAAAGGTAGTAAGCGTGCACTTGGTAGTTGACACATAACTGAAATGATTGCAATTCTTGATCCTAACACTCCGTAACCAATGAGCCCAAAAAAAAGACTAGAGTTTGGTGAGGACATGAACCGGCCAAGTGCCAACCCATACATGAACCGGACAAAAAACAAAATTAAGAGAGCATGATATGATAACTGCCTAAGCCCAACTGGTGAGAGGGCAGGCACACCCCACGCCCAAATCCAAACAATGTCAAACTTTGGCAACGCACGAGATTGATTCTTCACGTGCTTACCAGATTCGCTTTATCTTAAGAGTTAAGAGGAAGGGAGTATTGTATTGTAGTTGTTGGTGTGTACGTTCCTCGAAGACGAAGAAGGCTCTCAGAGACTCATTAGAGAGTACTCCCAGACTGTTCTGTGTACCCACGAGAGAGAGTTTTGTTGTGACCGATGAGCTTGAGGCTTGTTGAGCTCAACACAAAATGCGAAAGATACATCACATCATACATCTCTTTCTCTTCCTCGGATTAGTTAATAGTTACTACGCTTGGAAACTGGGAAGGAGCCAAGGAGGGGGATCCACAATTTCACTGTTCCTGCTAGTTCATAAAGCTCCCAGCAAAGCTTCACGAATTCCCAGATTCACCTTGTTTAGTGGAGGAGTACAGGACTCAAATCTTTGGAGAGAGAGATCTTTGGGGAGAGAGAGAGAGAACCAACCATTATTTGCACTTTAGAGTTTAGACATGAGGGTAGTGATAGCTGCAGCCTGCAGGACGGGACCCATGAAGGCAAATTAAATGAGGCTGTTCTGTTCTGTTCTGTTCTGCTTCTTATAAAAGAGTGTGGTTACTGGTTAGACACTTTGGACCAGCCAGTCTTTGGCCAGTGGCCACAATTGTTTTGGGTTCCTCCTTACCATTAACCCAATACCCCTCAACCCCGGACCGGTGAAAGTCAAAGTACACCTCACCAGGGAAGGGATATCGAAAGGTCAGAGTTTGGTATAGGTTCGCCCCAATTTGAACTTGACTTGGTGATCTGACCCATCTAATTAAAATGGAATGTGGATTCGGTCTTGCCCGCTCCAAGTGGTATCATCCCTCTACTCATCCAAGGCCGTATTTAGTTATTTACAAATATTGTCCTCCTATATCAATGGGTTGGGTTTGATGTGGGTTGACCTCAAGGTCCTCAACCCAAAACCTGCTTTAAGGCCAACCAGATAGGGGTTTGGGTCAATGCGCCTTTACCCCTTAACCTAATCCACTTGTCAAGGTTTAAATGTAGGCTTAGTCTATCTACATTTGTTTGGGTTGTATATATTGAGTGGCATTATCATAAATTTTAGGCCACTCTAACGTTATCTTCCACCAAAAGCTCAAGAGCTTAACATCCTTTTTGGTGATGGTGATGGGTGGTCTAATGCTTACCCTTGCCATTTTCAATACCTTACATCTCTCATGGGGCAGCCCTATTTAAAGCTTTCAAGGCTATCAGAGTTTTTCATGGGCACACACACATTTACAGAGACACTACATGAATTGGCAGTGTACCTTATGAGGGAGATTTTACATGAGCATTGGCCATAACAATGTTCCTTCACTTCACCAGCCCCATGTTTAAGCTGATGGAGCTATCCCATGTCTTAGCACCTGGGTGTGTTCAAGGCTCAGTAGTTGCCTAGTTAGCACAACCATCATCAGCATAATCCCCTTTGGCATGTAAGCGATGCTTCCCATAGATCGACAAAAGCCATAATTATGCAATTCAATGTCATTAACCTTAGTAGAGCCATCAATGGGCCTACACTTGGCCCTTACATCTTAAAGGCTTGTCTTGACTACATAAGTCCAAACGCGCACACAAGTTTCTTCTTCTGCTAAATCTAGCTTCTTGCCACATCCCTAATTACCAACCAATTAGCTGTGGAAACCTTTTACTTTTTACCTTGTTGTATAAAAATAAATATCAATTTTATAAAAGGAATGGGTGTGGAGATTGATTTCAACGTAAAAGAGACATGCATAAATAAAAAATAAAAACTAAAAACTTAAAACAGACATAGAAGTGGGATCTGAGATCAATTTCTTTCCAAAGAAAAGAAAAAAAAAAAACAGTTTTTTCTACGAAAGAAAAAAAAAATTGATTTCATTACTTTAATTGTGTTTGAAGAAAAAATTCCCTTTCATATATAAAGTATAGATCCCATTATTTTCCTTCTTATTTCACTCTCAAACAAACAATTCGAATATGGAATCTGCATTCGTTAGCTACATCAAATTTTACCTGCTCTAAATACAGTTTTTTTTTTTTTTAATGCAAAAGTGCATTTTACCATGTGTTGACGACAGGTGGCCCAAAATGATCGTTTCAAGGTTGTAGTAAAGTTGTGGATTGTACCATTAGTAGCACATATATTCTAATTTGCAACCTGAGCTATGGGATTTTAATATTTGAGTCGCGTTTGGGAGTGTTTCTCCAAGAGACCTTTTGTTCTATTCACGTTGGGGAAACCAAAAAGCAATAAAAAAATCGTTTGGTCAATAAAGTTTAAAATGGGATTATTATTGCATAAAAACCATTTTAAAAAAGAAAAATATCCATTTAACTTTTCACATTTTCAAGAAATTATTTCAACAAAAAAGATTGTAAACATCCAATAATAAAAATGTAGTTTTTCAAAAAAAATCGTTTTAAAATCAAAAGGCGATTTCTTCAAAAAACTTGTTTAAGCCAAAAAAAAAACACTCCCAAACACAACCTACAGCCTAATGTTTGGTTGATGTTACATGGAAAAGATGCAACCTTCAGGACCATCTTGTACAAAAGTTGTTTTAATATTAGTATTAATATTAATAATATTATTATTATTATTAAATATTGAAAAAGGATTATACATGATAAATGATACAAGCTCGTCATTTATCTCATTTGGGGTCCGGTACGAGTTAATACCAGGACATTACACTTATTATTATTATTATTATTTTGCTATTTGATACAAGCCCAAAGACCCCCAACTAATTTAGACAAATATCGTCTGAGCTCAGCCTAAGACGAAGATATACATACATACTGACGTACAGTTTATTTGTTCCCATGAAGGCTCAATTTATAAGGCTTCAGAATAGGCTAAACTAGAGCCGTGCAAATGGATGGATCGCTACAAGCTTATGGTTGCATCCATTTTGGGCCATCAAGATTGTGGTCTAAAGCCCATTTGGCCGAAAGGAGACCTATGGTTTATGGAGGCCTGTTACGGGTTTGGGTATAGCTGTTTTCAGCTCTCTACCTACGAGACATTATAACAGTGCATTGGGAACATCTTTTTGTCATTTATAGGAAGATGTTCCTAATACATGGCGATGGTGCTCTGTGGGTAGCAGATTTCGAGTGGCTGTAAATTGTAACTCCAGCCCTGCCGTGGATTGGGATCATCTCCCAATGATATACTGCATGATGATATCATCATCGGAGATGTTTCTTATCCACGGCAGGGATGTACTGTCCCTCAGTAATATATCTAGATTATCAGCACCCACCTTGTAGGGGTATCAATTTCAGTCTTAACTATCTAGTTTTTAAATTATTTTTGAAGTTTTATTTTAGCAAAAAGAAGAAATAAACAAACTCACTTAAATTTTACATTTCTACAAAACTTTGATTTAAAAAGGTTTTAAGTTTTATATAAACATGATTTTTTTTGTTATATTAGTCACATATAATTAAGATAATAATATTATTTCGCTAGGTGCCAAGTAGCTGGGTGATAAAGTCTCCTACTGGATGTAATGGAGACTTGGGATCGAATCCTGCCTGCACCAGGGTTGGGATATATGGGTTTGGGGGATGGGCTAGCCCCATTGTCTGCACCATGATTATGGTCATCTTGACTGCTTAAGGGGGCTTTCTACAACATGAATGTTTCTGTTTTCATTATTTTGGAATCACCATATCAGCGAGAAAAAACAAAAACATGTTCTTGAACTCTATTTTTGTTTTCAAAGGAAAAAAAAAACAAGGTGATTTTGTTTCGAAAAAACAATTCATATTTTTGGAACCATCAATATGATGGTTTGTAAAATAAAAACAAATTTTGAAATATAGAAATTATATGCTTTATGGAAATAACAAAATAAAAACATATTTTTGAAACCAGGAATTCAACGAACTTTTAATATATATATATATATATATATATATATATATTAAAAACTGAAACAAAAATAGAGTAAGATTGTTTTTGATTTATTTTTGGAACGGGCAATAAGAAAAACAATTGATGTTGTAGAACTTCCCCTAAATGTTTGATAAATCAGTTTAAAAGTTGACCCCTCCAATATAAACACCATGTACAATTATACATACATAATGCACTTATGTCGTAGCAAATTGAATGTAAATGTGATTTTAGAAAATGACTCTTTGATTGTTATCACTTGTCTGTTGAATCCTGCCAAGGCATTGCCATCGCCACCATAAAATATGGTGAACATGAGCATGAAAGAGTTGAGGATAGAAGCGCAGAAATAAATGTATTGTCTTGTAATTTACAGACACAATCAGACAACTGCAACTATATGGTTACTTGTATTAATTAGGCCTAGTTCAATTTTGAGGAATAGGGGTCTGGAATTGGAATTGGACTGGGTTATTACGATTTTAACTGTTTGACCGGGTGGAATGGCAATCTCTTATTTAAGGGAATAGCTATTCCCTTTCTCTTCCTTGGAAATGAAATCCCATTTCTATTCATTCTAATTTTCATTTCCATTTCTGTTTGAACCAAACTAACTATAACTATAGTAATTTTCAAACGACCACTTAAAAATTGGAATAGAGCAACATCGATCCAACGCTTTAGTGGGTAAATCGGGTGGATGGAGTTTAGTAGAAATGTGAAAGGTGCGGATGGATGTGTTCCCGAACATGGTGGTATTCTATGTTGATGTATTTAATATGTCTGTGGAATGTGGGATTTTCCGCAATGTGCAATGTTGTCTGAGTACCAAAATGAAGCTCCATATAGGTTGAGTGAAGGTGATGGTAAGATGTTGCAGAAAACGTTGGAGCCAAAGTAATAGACTAGTCACAGTAGCGGGAGACCATAGACAAGAAAGCGGGTTGTAGATCATTGGTAGAGGATAGGAGAATAATGGTTGGCCCGAATAGGAGTTTAAGTATTGTACCCCACACCTGTGCTTTAAAAAAAGAACAAATCTAGAAGTAATTTAGATTTTGGTGAAGAACCTGAAGGCTGGATTTGCTCTAGGTTTTTTTTTTTTTAATGGTCGGATTTTTCTAATTTTAGATCTTGTATTGTTGTCAAATCAACTCTATAAGTTTTTCAGAGAAGTTTGAATTGTAGATTTATTGACTGGGCCTGCATGGCTTGCTTGTTTGTCTGGTCCAGCCTGGTATTTGGAGCCCATAAAATGGACCGGGCCTGCGCCCGCCTGCCTAAGGCGCTTAACACGCTCTTCTTGGCCCGGCCCAATAAATTGCACATTTGCATTGAGCCCCCACGAAACTGGATTCAGTCAGTGCAATGGGAGATATTCCCAATGTAAGGCTATACAAGTTATTGGAACGGACCTTGCACTGACTGAATCCGGTTTCGACTATTGGTAGTATATCCAGAAAAATAAGGAGAACGTGGCAAAGTTGTGGGTCCTGTCCTGGCCCAATCTACGGATCGTGTCCCCAACTCCACTGCCCAGACCCAAAATTGATGAGCCTTTTACCCATTTCCAACAGTAAAGTAATTATCCATGCTTTACCAAAAAAAATTAAACTGTGAAATATCAAATACCATTAGCGTGGTGTTGATCTGTATGGGTACGATCGGTTAACCATCTTATATACATATGTATTTGTATCAGAGTTGTACTGTAATAATTTATAGCTCATCTCCCCGTGGACGAGACCGTCCTCACAAATTTGTCCTTAATCCGGTTTCCGCGGGGACCTCACCCGCACCCGCACCCGCACATTAACGAAAGCAAAAGAAGTAGCTAACGAGTAACGATGAGCTAGCCGTTCTGTTCCAAATTGAATGGCTGTGAGTAGAGAGGAACAGTTAAGGAAGAGAAACCCTCTTCAACCCACCCCACATATCAACCGAATCTCATCCAGAAGGGAAAATTTCACTACTGTCTCTTCCTCTTTCTTCAAGGTATGAACCCTTCCCTCCTTGTGCATCACTGAATATTCATTAGTGACAGAGCCTAAGATTCATACCGGAAAAGATGGGTATTTTGTTCTGTTTCTTACGACAGAAATTAGTGGCAAATGAATTTTGAGAGCAAACAGTTTATACACATATACTGAATGGGATATTTCGTTGTGGGTTTCTGCTTTTACTTATAAATTTACGCTTAAGATGCAAGCTTTAAGCGTCTGGCCCTTAAAAAGGGACTTTTTTACAGTTCCATATTTGGGATTTGATGTCAATTCTTCTTGTATTTCAACAATAAGGAGAGGGAAAAAGAAAATATGTGCTATTGATGGTTGTATATATCAGGGCAGAAGTTCTCATCTTTTGCTAGTTTCTAGAACTTCAGCGGAATTTAGGACTGGTGCTTGTTGTTGGAATCCAAATTTTACTCCTCAGTATGGGATTTTTTTCAGTCTCTCCAAACAGAAATTTGTTCTCTTTTGTGAATCAAAGAGAAATTTGTTTGGTGCTTCTTTTGCACTGGCTTGGGCATTGGAGCAACGAGCAATTGGCAACGAATTCGCTACAGAAGCTTCAAATCCGCCAGATAAATTATCAAAAGATGGAGAATGCCATCTTAGTTTTGACGAGGAAGTGAATGAGACAATTCTTTCTGAAGGAGGAGGACCAGGGGGAGAAGCTAGTGAAAATGAAAAAGTAGTTGAAGATAATAATACAAGGATTGACGTTCGTGCACTTGCATGGAGCTTACGGCTTGTTAAAACTGTAGGTGATGTAGAAGAGATTCTAAAGGATATGGGTGAACTGCCCCTTCCTGTCTATTCCTCCATAATAAGAGGTTTTGGAATAGAGAAGAGACTAGAGTCAGCAATGGCTCTTGTTGAGTGGCTTAGAACCAAGAAGAAGGAGATTAAGGATTTTAGTGGTCCGAACCTTTTCATATACAATAGTCTTCTTGGTGCAGTGAAGCAATCTGAACAGTTTGGAGAAGCGGAGAGAGTCATGAAAGATATGGCAGAGGAAGGGATCCTTCCTAATGTTGTAACTTACAACACTTTAATGTCTATTTATTTGGAACAAGGGCAGTCCATTAAGGCCCTTGATCTTCTCAAAGAGATTCAGGAAAAGGGCCTCTCTCCATCTCCCATATCTTATTCAACAGCTTTGCTGGCTTACAGAAGAATGGAAGATGGAGATGGAGCTCTAAAGTTCTTTGTTGAACTAAGAGAAAAGTATCAGAAGGGGGAAATAGGAAAAGACAATACTGATGAAGATTGGGAAAATGAATTTGTCAAGCTGGAAAAGTTTATAATTCGTATTTGTTACCAAGTGATGCGGCGATGGCTCGTGAAGGGAGATCACTTGAATAGCAGGGTACTGAAGCTTCTTACGGATATGGATAAGGTTGGTCTGAGGCCTGGTCGGGCAGAACATGAGCGTCTTGTCTGGGCGTGTACTCTAGAAGGGCATTATACTGTTGCCAAAGAGTTGTATAACAGGATACGAGAAAGGGAATCTGATATTAGCTTATCTGTCTGCAACCATATAATATGGTTGATGGGAAAGGCCAAGAAGTGGTGGGCAGCTCTGGAGATCTATGAGGATTTGCTGGACAAGGGGCCAAAGCCAAATAACCTATCATATGAGCTGATTGTATCTCACTTCAACATTCTACTCACTGCAGCTAGGAGAAGAGGAATATGGAGATGGGGTGTAAGGTTACTTAACAAAATGGAAGATAAAGGCCTGAAACCTGGGAGTAGGGAATGGAATGCAGTTCTTGTAGCCTGTTCCAAGGCATCAGAAACTTCAGCTGCTGTGCAGATATTTAGAAGGATGGTAGAGCAAGGTGAAAAACCAACAATTCTGTCATATGGGGCATTGCTCAGTGCCCTTGAGAAGGGGAAACTCTATGATGAGGCTCTCAGAGTTTGGGATCATATGGTTAAAGTGGGTGTTGAGCCAAACTTGTATGCCTACACAACTATGGCCTCTGTTTGCATTGGACAAGGAAGACCTGAGAGGGTAGATTCCCTCATTCGTGATATGATTTCATCTGGGATTGAACCCACTGTTGTCACTTATAATGCAATTATAAGTGGCTGTGCACGGAATGGTATAGGCAGCACTGCATTTGAATGGTTTCATCGCATGAAAGTTCAGAATATTTCACCAAATGAGATTACATATGAAATGCTTATTGAGGCTCTTGCAAAAGATGCCAAACCAAGACTAGCATATGAACTGTATCTAAGGGCTCAAAAGGAGGGTTTACATCTTTCATCAAAGGCCTATGATGCTGTAATAGAATCCTCACGGTATTATGGGGCAACTATAGATGTAAGTGTTCTAGGACCCCGTCCTCCAGAGAAAAAGAAACCTGTGAAGATTAGAAAGACTTTGTCAGAGTTCTGTAACTTGGCTGATCTCCCTAGGAGAGGCAAACCATTTGACAGAGAGGAACTTCATGCTCGTCAAACACTGGGAAACCAGTAACTGGTGTGTTGCGATGCAGTCAATGCAACGCAAATTATAGGATATGCGAATTCTTTGCTTCCATGTTAGCAGTAATGGCATTTTGCCAAGACACTTAGAAGACTGGCAATATTTTCCATGAAGCAAAGGCAGAAAAGATATGCATAGAAAAATCATATTTTTGTGGTTAGAGCTGAAACTGTAAAGAAGAATTTGTTATGCAAGGGTATGGTGTATATGGATGGATGGTCACTTAACCAGTATAATAGCCATCGGGCAAGCTGACATCCAAATTACAGATCATGTCACAGAATCAGGCCAAATTTTATGTCTTTGATATGATGTGACATGTGAGGTGGTGTTACTTGTATCATATACTGTGGCCCTATCTACTTTTATCTCACACAGATTTGGACCAAGTCATTTTCCAAATCCAGTTTGAGATTTGAAAATTACGAGCTGCAAATTTTGAAAATGTTGATTTTATATCAAAACCCAATTATTATTTAGCACTTCTCTTTATATCAAATGATGGTCTTCGTGATAAATGTGACAAAGAACACACACACACACACACACACAGAAGTATGCACTACGCAGTCCTTTGAATGACAATGATGATAAGAAGTTTCAGCATTTTATAAACCACACTACAACAAAGTTAAACTTTGACAGCGTTTTTCATAGTGACATTTTTTATTCACCACTATATGATAGCTTTAGTGGTGATTGTTAAAAGTGCCACTATATGCATATAACAAACACCACCATACATATTTTTTATGTGGCACACATTCAAGTGCTGTTAAAAATATATTAAAATTGCCATTCTAATTATTTTCTTTAAGCAGCAAATACTAAATTGCTATTAAACGCCACTATATGTATTTGGTCTCTGTTTGAACCATTGACATAAAAAATGTGTGGTAGCAATTTCTTCTTCCCTCCTCGTGTTCTCCTTTGAGAAAGTCTCATGCATATTCATTCTTGGGTCATTTCACTGATAACTCTTACAGCTTCGCAAGCAAAGTACAAGATCAAAGAAAGAAGGTAAGTGTTCACCCTCTTCTAACTCAAATATCTTCTTCTTCTTCTTCTGTGCAACTTAATCTCCTGATGCTATTGCAGGGCTGTTCTAGAAAGATGAGTAAGGAACCGAATCAAGTCTAAGATGTAAGAGAGGTAAATGGATCCTCTTTGTGTTTCATTTTGGTTTCATTAAGATTTCTTCAATTTGGTTGCTGTGCTAACTAAACAGGGACACCACTTGCTTTCCTTCTTGTCTAGGGTTTTGCCTCTAGTTGTTTCTCCATTTATGGATTTCTTTGAGCTCTACTTAGAAAATAAACCATTTATTTGTTCTCTTCTTCTGGTTCATTTGGGCTTTCTGTTTACTAAAAGGTTAGGGTTTCAAACTAGGCATAACCATAGCACATTAGAAACTTTCCCTCTTAGCAACCTCTTTAGCAAGGTTTCACAAAGAGAAATGAAAACATAAAATAAATTTTACAAGATACACATACCGGTATCTTTTCTTTTAATTCAAAAACACTAGGAGAAAAAAAAAAGCTTCATACTACCTCTGTTCTCCCTGGACAGTGGACAGGTTATGCCAAGTTTGAATAGCTTAACCCCCTAACATGTGCAGTCGGTTCACAAGTATAGAAATAATTCTGACTCTTTCAATTCCTAATCATTGGTGGGCAAGAAGTCTTCCAACAAATAATCTCAGGCTTGTATACATTTTGGTTAATTGTGGAATATATTTCATACAAGTTTGCATTGTCTTTATCTATCTTCTCTTGCACAACCTGCAAAATAATGAATCTTCACTAGCAGATAAATTCGCATTCCAATGATCTAGTGTTGCCAGAGGTGGATTGGAATAAATAGTCAAACCAGTGGCCTAGTGAGCTTTCTGGGCCCTAGTATTTTGGTAATATTTTTATCAGCATAATGATTAAAACACCAGTTAAACCAGTAATCTAATTACCACTGAGCTTTCTGATTTTGTCCAATCTGGGTCTAACACAATCTGCAATTTCAAGTACTTTTCTACCAAGACGTTTATCCTTTTCCTTACAAGACACCAAGGTGAATTTGTATTTTCTGGTTTCACATTGCAGTTGCTTTATTTTCTTTGTTTATGATTGTTGCATTTTAATTCTATATTTTTATTGTTTAACATAAAGCCTATGCATATTCATTTGATTTGTAGAGCCTTGTATTTCCTTAACATAAGCTACATGTTCCCACTACCTGCAGGGTTCTTGGCTTTGTATTTGGTTGGTCTTTCCTAGCTGATGCACTAGGCCCAAACTAACCTAACTAGATAAACATAACCATATATATGATCTTTTGATTTTCTTCAACTTCCCAATTTAATCATGTCTGTCTAGGAGTTTTTTTTTTTTTTTTGATGAATCATGTCTGTCTAGGAGATTCATTTTCAACAACTTATTTTCTGCTTTATGTAGGCATGCTTAGGCTCACAGGAGAGGCTCATTTTGTGGGGTGTGTTTTGCTTGAACCTAGGTGCCGTGTTGCTTGGCTTTTTTCTATTTTTGATGAATTAGTCTTCAATTTGATATCAAATACACAACTTACTATATTGTAAGTTGTACTTATGATGCTTAGGGTATAAACAGGTTAGCTTATGTCAAACTCGAGCATACAAATGACAGCAGCATTGTGGAGGCTTTTTGAAACAACTTGTGTATCAGGTTTGTATTTGGATATACCTATGGATAAATGACAGCAGCATTGTGGAGGCCATAGGAAATGCATTTATTGCAGGTTAGCCTAATCATGATAAAGTTCTTGCAATTATCAGTGTGGTAGTTGAGACTTCACTTTGCAATCATGTATCTATGCATTACTTGTTGGTTCATATGCTAGAAGTATGCATGCTTGCTTCATTTTCTATCCAATTTTATCCATTAGCATATCACTAAGTTTCTTGCTGTATGGAGGAAGGTATGCCTTCTTCCTTTTCAGTCTACAGTATCTATGCATATGCAAAGTCTCTTTCCTTTTTTTAATGGACCTGGTCCGGTCCTCCTATATAGATACTTTTGGTTCTACTTGAATGATGGTATCTGGTTTTCTTCTTGCAGACTATTTTTCATGCTGAGGTGCTTCCCTATTGAATCTAAAGGATATAGAAAGAAGCTTCATGAGGTATCTGCTTCTTATCAGGTGGACAATTGAATTGTAAAAACAACGTAACTTTCAGTCCCAGATTGTATCAGATAATATTTTCTTTTTCTTTACTTCTTTTAGCTTTTATTCTATTTACTTGGTAGCCTAGAAGCTTTATTACTATCATTCGTGAAACCTCTGATGCAATGTCAAGGGTATTAGATGCTGGCACCTTGAAGGATATGCTCCATTTTTTATTTTCATGTTTATGTTTTTCTTTCTTTCTTTCTTTATTTGGTAGGAAACTGGGGTACAACAGTGGGTAGCCCTCCCCTAACGCTTAAACCCCTCAATCCCTGGTGAAGGCAGGATTTTATCCCAAGTCTCCACTATAACCAGCTAGAGACCTTACCAGCAAGCAAGATGCCACTTTCATTTAAGCTTATATTGAATCTTTTGGTATGAAAAGCCTAATATTTGTCAGACAATAGAGCTCTAGCGGTCTAGCCTTTGGAGAAGGTAATGAAATGAGAAAGACACAGTAATCAAAAAATGATTAATGGTGCCACTTTTTAAAATGACAAAGAAATATAATTTGTTATTTCATTGATCCTTCATTCTTACGCTGAAGTCATGCTTGTTTTGGATACACTCTTCATTGACAAATATATGAGTTTTCTCCAATATTTATATCAAGCTACATGGTGCTAAGAAAATAATCTTTGTATGCAATTGTTTTACTGCAACCTCTATCTGGACTTCCAGTTTAATTTCAAAGTATTTAATTTCATTCTTCTAACATGCATTAACTTTTATAGGTTGGATTTGTTACAGCAATATATGTTCACTTGCTTTCTTATAAGATGCTTTCTGGTAAGTACTAAGGTTCCAAGCATAATGCGTTACATTCCTATGTGAATCAGTAAACTTGCTTTTTAAGAAAGATAAGGCATGGAGATGATTGAGGACTGTGGGGCATGAAGAATGTGTTCTTCCTGCTTAGTGCCTATGTCATACATGTGGTGGCATGTAACTAACCTTCTGGATGATCATTTGGTGGAATCACATGCAGTAGATACAGAGGGAAAAAAATACCAAGTTTACCATCCTACTGACATAATCTGCCACTGAAAAAAGACAATGCAAAACTTCAAGAAGGAATTTTACAAAGGTTTTTGAATTTTGGTTTTGGCCTCTTTGTTTCTTTGGGGAGGAGGGTGTGAAAGTGAGGAAAACCTGAAGTCTGGAAACTAATCTCACCAAAATTAAATCTGTTGAAATAATATGCTCTGTTGCTAGTAGTCGACTACTAGCAACAGATTTTATTATTTCAACAAATTCCTGAAAAATTGAACAAATTTCCCTTGCTAATTCCATTAGTAAAATTGTAAAATCTAATAAACATGATATTTTGTGATACTTATTTGAGAATGAAGTAACTGGAGATATTTTTCTGCCCCCCTCTTCTATTTGAGTTCTTCTGAATCCCCTATCAACTGAGATGAAGAGAGTTTGTTTAATAAATTTAGATGACACTTGAACTGACTTGATTAAGAAGAAGATTCTTCGGTGTCATAAGAATTAGCATAAATAGTCTGTGTAACTTGCTACCTTCTTTCTCATTAGAAAATAAGAGAATCTACTTAAGTTGAATTGTGTTGTTCAAATATTCTAGCCTGTCCCAAAGAGAAAGAAATAGAAGGATTCTTGGATGGTGATTTATGTTGTTAATTTCTAATTTGATTGTCCATTTGGGTGGGCCAAGGATTAAAATATTGATATTGTATGCCCCATCTGTATTGGTGCACCCAGGTATGCATGGATACACTGATACACAAATATTTTAAAAGTTTTAAAACTTTGTGATGCCTTCTCTCATTCCTTTAATCGCTAATATATATGCTTTCAAAGGAGGGAATATATAAAAAATAGCAAACCTTGACAATTTGCAAAACAAAAAATGCAACCCAGGCAAAAACAAAAAGACCAAATTCCCTCAAGTAGAAATTCTCAAGAATAGGAGCCTAGCATTTGCATGCAAGTTAGTCTAGGGAGCTTGCAAGGCAGAAATGCAGCTTACTTATATGGCCCACAATTTAATGTTTGTAATATAAATAGGAAAGAAAATATTAAAGTAAACTTAGATGAGAATAAAGCCAAGTGTGTTAATCATAGGTCAAACCTGTTTACATTCATAACCAGTAACACAGGTTTGTCTTAAAATGTCAATAATCTACAAGGTTATGCATGCAGTCATCTCACAGAAGATACCATAGCTATGTTTGTACACGAAAAACAATCAACTGGTGACTCAAAATTTTAAACATTTTGAGAAATGCAATTACCGGTCCAGAGAATATCCATGTCC